CTATCCTGCTTTTTATTCTATTGTCTTTGCATGTTTGGCAAGGTCACCACTGGTCAATCAAATAAGTCAGACACCTGGACCATCTTACCTCCTAAATACTTCTTGAAACTATCCATGTATTTCCTTTCCTCCTGCCTCTGCTCTAACCCAGGCTCATCCTATCTTTTAGTTCCAGAATAATTTTTTTTCTAAACAAACACACAAAAAATAGATTTTTTTTTTTTTGAAACAGAGTTTCACTCTTATTGCCTAGGCTGGAGTACAGTGGTGCGATATCGGCTTATGGCAACTTCCAACTCCTGGGTTCAAGGGATTCTCCTGCCTCAGCCTCCTGAGTAGCTGGGATTACAGGCATGCACCACCATGCCTGGCTAATTTTGTATTTTTGGTAGATATGGGGATTTCTCCATGTTGGTCAGCTTGTCTCGAACTCCCAACCTCAGGTGATCCTCGTGCCTCAGCCTCCAAAAGTGCTGGGATTACAGGCTTGAGCCATCACGCCTAACCAGAATAATTTTTTTCTAATGAATAAATATAATCATTTTACTTCTCTGCTCTGGCTAAAATCTCATCTTCTTACTATCACATATAAAGTGCTTTATAACCTGGTCCCGCCTATACTCACTCCACCTTTTGCCCAGCCTAATCTATAGCCATACTGAATGACTGGTCTCTCCCTTAATCTGACATGCTCTTTCAAGCCTTCAGTACCTTTGGATATGCTATTTCCTCTGCCTGGAATGCTCTCACTCTCTTGGCAAACGCCTTTTCACCCTTCAAGTCTCAGCTTGTGTTACCCCCTCTGTGAAGTTTCCTCTGATGCCACTGGGCCAATGTAAGTTCCCACTTGGAACATTCTGATTACATTTTGAACATACCTTCCTGATAACAGTGATTACATTGTACTCTAATTGTCTGAACACTGTCTCCCAATTAGACTGTAATCTCCTTGAGGGCAGAGACTTCCTCTTTTCATCTTTGCATCCCCTGCATGTAGAATATACTAATGAGGTTCTGGATCAAATGAATAATTATGAATGAGTTCCTCTCCCCACAGGTGGCTTCTTCTGATTTTGCACACAAGGGGAGCTGTGCTCCCTCATTGCCCTGTACTATACTTATAATTCAATATTAACTGAGTATCACCAGTACAGAGCAAAGGACTGGGCAAGAAGGGATTTGACTAACCCTGTAACTATTAGTAATTTCTCAAAATTTTCAGAAAGTCTCTTCTAATACTTAAGAGTCTCCAAGACTAACAAAGATCCAAACATGAATTTTCATGTTTGATTGAATCAGAATCATACATCTCAAACTTAGCTGAAGTGAATAACTAAGAATTTGAGAATTAAAGTATTTTGTAAAATTTGTGATAGTGATATTTATTTTAAGGCAGATGTTTACTGATCTAAGAATTTTTAATTTATGACATCTAGACTGAAGCTATTATATTTTAAAGTAAAAGTCCATAGAAGGAAAGCCTATAAAACATAAAATATCTTGGCTAATAAGATAGGAAGGTAAAGCAAGGCTAACAGCAAGAACACATGTTCTATGCTGGTATTCAGAAAGAAGTATTTTTGATATATGTGAATAAGAGATAATATAATGTATTTTGGTCCGGGTTAAATATTATTCTTGCATTTGTTTTAAAGGGATGTTATAAAAAATTTACAAGAATGTTTCATCTCTATTAACATGTGCTTAAAAGAAACACTAACAAAAGGCTTTTTGTATTTTAAGTATACAAGAGCAATGCTAACTTATTTCTAATTCTTCCAAATGTCATATTTATTAAAGATAAATATTTATTGATGATATTTATTGATGACAATAAATATTTATTGAAGACATAAGCAAAAAGACAGTTGGTAAATGAAATTTGCCTTTCTTAATTTCTCCTTAAATTTGCCTTTCTTAATTTCTTCTTGTTCAGTTTCATAATTTAAGTCTTCCTTAATTTGCAGTGCCTAATTTAAACTTAATTTTTAATGACTCTGACCCTAATTTGTTTTTCTCTTTTTTTTTTTGAGACAGAGTCTCGCTCTGTTGCCAGGCACCAGGCTGGAGTGCAGTGGCGTGATCTCGGCTCACTGCAACCTCTGCCTCCCGGGTTCAAGCATTCTCCTGCCTCAGCCTCTCGAGTAGCTGAGGACTACAGGCTCATGCCACCATGCCCAGCTAATTTTTGTATTTTTTTTTTTTTTTTTGAGACGGAGTTCCGCTCTCGTTACCCAGGCTGGAGTGCAATGGTGCGATCTCGGCTCACCGCAACCTCCACCTCCTAGGTTCAGGCAATTCTCCTGCCTCAGCCTCCTGAGTAACTGGGATTACAAGCACGCACCACCATGCCCAGCTAATTTTTTGTATTTTTAGTAGAGACGGGGTTTCACCATGTTGACCAAGATGGTCTTGATCTCTTGACCTCGTGATCCACCCGCCTCAGCCTCCCAAAGTGCTGGGATTACAGGCTTGAGCCACCGCACCCGGCGGTGGTAGAGACGGGGTTTCACCATGTTGACCAGGATGGTCTTGATCTCTTGACCTCATGATCCATCCACCTCGGCCTCCCAAAGTGCTGGGATTACAGGTGTGAGCCACGGTGCCTAGCTTGGTTTTCATTATTAAGCTAACAGAGCTTCTGTATAAAGAGATGGGACTGAAATGAGAAGGCCCCACACTCAGCAGTCCTGCCTTTCCTACAAAGCTTGTTTTTCCCTGGGGAATATCTTTCTTCTGGCTTGTCAAGTAGCATCTCACAGTAGAATTAGTTTTAATGTGATAAAATCCCATATCAATATTAACATGACCCACTTCTCCCCTACCTCACCACCATGACTAGGATATATGCACAGTGTACATTGATATAAATAAGCAGATACAAGATACAGTCAAACATATACCTACAAATTTAGATAAACAGAGACAAAGACACAAGAACCACCCAGACTCTGTTATTCTCAGTAATATACACACCTGTGTTATTTCATCAGAGGCCCTTGTGACAAAATTGGATTGCTTTCTCATGGGGTGAGGGGAGACTCCCACACTTTGGGGTCCTCCTTTCTCACCTGGCCTAGGGAGGAAGAGGCACCATTCTCCCTTTCTGGGCTCCCTTTATGTACTGAAGACTTTTCTCATGTTCAATCTTGTTATAGACCCAGTTACCCAACCCTTACCTGCCACAAGCTGGAGTTCCTATGTGTGTATGAGGGGTGGGTAAAACATAAAGTTACAATCTTTAAGAAAACTCAGCCTAGAACAAACTCCAGCCTTCATCATTCAAAGTTATGTGCTTATGTCCTGTGGCCTCTCTTGTAGCTTGACAGGACTCTCTTCCTGAAGTCTTCTCCCTGCCCACCTCCCCCATCTGCTGGAACCCATAGAGTAAGAACCACTAATTCTCCACAAGATGGGAGTGGGTGACAGGGCTGGAGTTGCCAAGACCTCTGACTGGTAATGCACAGCTACTGAAACCTGATGCTTTTTTCTTTTGTTGGGGTAGACCCCATTAAAAGTTTACAGCTGTGGTTAGCTAAGGGGACCCTGTCAGAAACTCCTGTCCTAGATTCTCCTCTTCAAGGAAGGGGTCTGTGTGTATGTGTGTGTCTGTGTATGGATATATATGTGTGTTGTTGTTCCGTGGAGAAATGGAACAGGATCTGAAAGTGGATTGGGGGCAGGATTCCCCAGTAAGGGCTGATGTGTGTAAGGAGTTCGAGGGTGTAGAATCATGCAAGGCAAACTACCTAGACTCCAGTTAAACTGGGATGAGGATTCGACGTCTGTAAACCTTGTGGCATTTATGGCTTTAAGAGGTTTTCCTTGCCTCCCCAATTTCTTACCAAACTCTCTCTCTGAAGAACTCCCATTTGATCTCAACTTGGTCTGGATGAAAGCAGAAGGTACAGCACTAGGTGCCTGGGCGGGAGCAAGCACTTCAAGACCCCCTTCAAAATCACCTGGACCGCACAGACCTAAGCAGCCGCATCCTCCACCACCCACACCTGGACCATAGTTCCCTACCTTCGCCTCTTCCAAACAGTGCGTGTGTGGCAGCCCGCGTCTCTCGCCTTCCCCCGTGGAACCTCACACAAAGCGCCCCAGGGGGTGTGAGTAAAGAGGGAGCCAAGTCCCGACGTTCTGTGAACAAACGCGATCCCTTTACTCTCTGTGGGGCTCCCGTCCGACCCCCACTCGTCTCGTAACTCAAGTAAAGACCCGGCTGTGACCGGACAAACCGGATCTGGGGTGCTTCCAGTCATTCCTCAAGTCACTCCCAAACTTCTCAGACTGCACCCGAGACTGCGCAGCGCGGCCTACCACTCCCGGCCTCGGACAGAGACGAGCTGGGTGCGCCAGGACCATAGCACCGGGGTCTGCCCGCTCCGCGGCGGTCCCCCCAATCCCCCCTCCTCTGCGCCCCTCACCCATGCCCAGCATCCCCAGCAGCTCCAGAGCAAACCTAGCTATGCAGTTCCGGGTCTGGCAGGGCATGGGCGCGGCTCGCAGGGCGGTGGGACCCCCGAGATCTCACGAGGATCCCCGGAGGGAGACGTGACCCCAGGCTCTCAGAGGGGTTTAGGTCGGATGAGTGACTTGCTTTGACGCCTGGCCTGGTCTGTGGGTGGCAGGTGATCAATGGTCTTGGACACCGAGCCCAGACCCGACGGTGCCCAGAGGATTCGAGGAGAGTCTCCCCTCCCCGCACGCTCTCCGCCTCCCAGCCTCTCCCGAGCCCCGTGGGACTTGTGGAGGCGGACTTGCCCTTTTCGCCGTCCACACGACCGCACTAGCCCTGCCCTCGGCACCGACGGGACGTCTCTACCTGCGCCCCGCGAGCCCTCGCGGTCTCACCTCGCGCCCTGCGGTCCCCTGAAGCACCTCCGCGGATCCCCCGGCGCCAGCCTCCATCCCGCCCCACTGCGCCCCGCCCCGCTGCTGAGCAGGGCTGCGCCGTCCCCTCCTCACCCCCAGCCCCGCCCGTCCCGGCGCAGAGCTGGAGAGGCACCGGACGCGAGCAGGCTCCGCGGGCCCAGCTGGGAGCCAGGCCGGACCCAAGTTGCAGTCCCGGGCTCCGGTGACGCCGTAGCCGCAGGTCAGATCCGGGAGGGCTTTTCCCAGCCCGCGGGCCGGGGCGCTCCGGGGTAGGGAGCTCCAAGTGCAGGGTGCCGGGGGAGCGGCCGCTCGGCCACGTTATTGAAGGAAGGGGAATGCTAGCCCCCTGCTCTTCGGATCTTATCGTAAGGCTAAAATGGGCCCTGTTAGGGCTGTCCTCTGCCCAATCAAGGTTTTGAGAGACTGGATTCTTCGGGACCTGGGAATGTTGGGTGGCCCAGTTTGCCTGGGCCTAAGGATTCTTCTCCTGGCACCAGCCCAACATACCAGGGAGGAAGCTTTGGGCTTTAGGATCCAAGCTTTCCCCCTCAGCCCTCCCAGGTTGGAATCGATGACCTTGACCCATCTTCCTCACACCTCAGGGCCAACTCTAGAGCTTCAGGCTGGAAAAGCGACCATGTGGGGCAAGAACAGGCAGGCCTATGTTCTCTCTCTGGTTCTGCCGCTGGCTCTGCCTGGGGCTTCATTGCTCTGCCTGGGGTTGTGCCTTCCTGTCAAGGTTGTTGAGAAGTTGCTGCCCCATGCCATTGTGTAAATTATTAAGGGCAACCCACCCACAAGAAGTGGTTATTAAGCATGTCCACCTTTCTCTTCAGGTCATCCCACACAGCCTGGCCTGAAAGGGCACTTCATGCCCTTAGGGGCTGAGTGGTACATTAGCGTTTGGGCCAAGGATCCTGAAGACATGGTTGGAGGTGGGGGAGGGCCAGGACATCTTGGGATCAGGGAAGGATCCCTGTGGGTACTTCAGTATATCCAGATTTACAGCTTTAATCATCCAGAGCCCAGTTCTTCATGCACTATTAAAGGCCAGCACCTGGACAGACTCTGGAACACAGCAGGTAGAATACTGAGCTTTCCAGTTAGGGCAGGGCCTAGGTTTTTTCATTTGTTTAGTAGGAGATGGAATGGGGATGAGGTCATTCCCTGGGTTCTCACCTCTAGATAACCCATCCAGGAGCCCTGATATCTGGCTGGGGATAAGGCTTTCCCTGAGCTCCTTCCTTCCTTCCTTTATCCTATCCCCAATCTCCAGGTTGCCTTTAGGAAGTCTTCACTGGCTTTAGGTACTCCTTGCACCACTCAGGAGTCCCAGCCTGAGACCTCTGCTGCCTGTTTCCCTTCTGACTCTGGGTGGAAAGAGAGAGCAGGAAGCCTGCACTAAACACATAAGCACCTGGTACCACATCCCTTCTGTATCCAACCAAAGGCGTCAGTCTCCCACCTACCCTCTCTGTAGCACATTTGCATAACACCTGTCACTTTTCTTGCTTTGAATTCAACTTCATTATCACATCTGATTCTGGCAACCATGCTGGGAAGTAAACAGTTCAGGCATATTTGCTCCCGTAGCTGGAAGAGGAAACCAAGGACCAGACTGGAGAAGTGATTTATCTAAGATTCCACTGTTGACTGGCAGCAGCACTGAGACCTCAGCCCAGTCTCCTAATCCCCAAGAAAGGCTCTGTCCAAGGAACACACTGCAAGGAGCTGGGCCAAAGCAAGGTTTTCCAACTAATTTTAGAAGATAAAGTCCCTGAAGGTATGTACCAGGGATTTCTGTTTGTTTTGTTCATCACTTAATCTCCAGTGTCTAGGTCAGTGTCTGGTACATAAAGGGAGCTCATCAAGTATTTGCTGAGTGAATTAAAGAATCTTGGGAAAGAGTGAGTCTCTTGAACTTTGCTACCTACTGTGACCTTGGCCTAGCCCCAGGCCTTGATTCACAGAGTCCTGCAGAGGCCTTGACCTGATTCTTCTTCTAAGCAGCTAGGGCTCATTCTCTGTCCTGTCTTTTTTTAGGGTCTCCATTTTGGAACATTTTAATCCCTGAGCCCCTATTATTTTCATCATGGGCTTCTTCCTGGCTCTAGCATGGACACTTCTGGTTGGGCCATGGACCCCTATGGGTGAGTACAGATTAGAGAAGAAGCATGGTTAAAAGCAGAGGAACCCAGCATCCTCTGGGCTTCCCCAAAGACAGGATCCATGTGATGTTCATCTGTATCCTTAGTCTTTAGCTGGCACAGTGCCCTGCATGTGAGAGTTGCTCATTTCTAGCTCTTGAAGAAATTGATGGAAAATGGAATGAAAATTATCCCCAAATGCACAGAATTAGGGAGCCTATAATTTCTATGTCAGCACTTCCTATTTTATTCCTTACAGTTTGGGGGCCCTTTCTTTCTCCTCTATCTTCTCTTGTTTTCCATAAAGTCAAGGCCTATGACTCAAAAGAGGAAGAGCCTGATTAGACACACAAGACAATAAAGGATCTTGGGGTCAGATTAGACCCAAAGCTGAAGGGGAGTCATCAATATTTTTAAACATTATAATCAAAAACAAAAGCAATACCTTCCACAAGAGTTTCACGTTGCCACCTGCAGTGGACAGTTTCTTACTGGAATCTGAGGCTGTTCTCCGTAGTCTGGGTCTCTGGAGGGAAGTGGGCTTGCAGTGCCACAAGTTAAAAAGTGCTCTTTAAAAGAGCAAGTCCTTGATAACTTGGGATGGGAGATACAAAAGCAGAAAGCAGAGAAAACTTGTAGAAGGATCCGTCCTGGCTGGAGGTGACACCTTCCCGACAGCTCCTCCCTTGCCAGAGCTGCTCACATCCATGTTCCTTCTAGCCCTCTTCTTTCCTTGGCTTTGGATTTTCCTTTTCTCCTTCAGCTCTGACCTCTTATCTCTAAGAGACACTTGCCCTGTACCGTCCTGCAAAGGCTCACTCCTTTATGTGCCACAGGTTCATATTGTTTTAGATATCACATGTATGGCCCTGCCCCAAATCTTGGACCCTTAGCTGGGTTCTTTGCTCAAACATCAGGCACTGAGTCATTTTCCCCCCTAGCTCCCTGCTGAGTGAGTGTGCAAATGTGTGTGTCTGTTCTCTGAGGTGAGCAGAGAGGAAGCCCCAGACCTATAGACTCCTAATCTGGGGGAAACAATCAGGCTGGCCGTCTGATCTACTGAGCAAAAAGATACCCGCTCCATCCCTGATTCCATTTTCCATTCTGGATCTTCCCTCTGTTCCTCATTCCTTAGTTCTTTCCCCAGAGGCTGAGTGCTCCCTCCTGGACCCTCATTTTGGAGAGTACAAAAGGATCAAGAGGAGGAATTGTATGGGGACAAGATGCCCCAGAGAAGGGGAAAGGTTATCCACATCACCAGTCCGTCCCCTGTCCTACCTAAGAAACTGGGGGGAAAAGCAGTAGCAACACCACACCCCTGCCCTGGGATCTGCTCAGCCAGAGAGGACTAGGTCCCTCACCACACTGACCCTGCCCAGGGATGGGTCACAGAATGATGTGTCCTTCTCAGGTATGGAATGTGGCTGGCTCTTGCTCTGTGTGGTGTCTTACGGCTGGGGATGGATTCTGTCCCGTTGTGTCCCCCCAGGGAGCTGAAGTTTGAGGGGAGTAGAAGTGCCCTGTATCCCCTTCCCCATCGCCACTGCTCTCCTCCAGCCTCCTCCCTCTCTGAGGCCATCTGTCGGCACACACTGGTCCCTGCTACACTGCGTTTTGGCTCCCTGCCATGTCTCCCCCACTGAGCAGCTTAAAGATCTGGCTTGAGTTTGGAAACTGCTTTGCCTGGTTTTTCCCTCTGCATCCTACTTCTCACATCCACTCCAGGTATCCACTTTCCACTGCTCCAAGTGCCAGGCTCACAGCACCCATTTCTGGCAGGCCTGCCTGTCCTCTCACGCACTGACTTGCCCAGCTGCCCCTTCCCGCCATCCTCACACAGGTGCTCAGAACCCCATTTCATGGGAGGTGCAGCGATTTGATGGGTGGTACAACAACCTCATGGAGCACAGATGGGGCAGCAAAGGTAAGTGAGAGCCAAGTGGGGACAGAGCTCCAGGGCCAGGGTGGTACTGACTGCTGCGGGGCGAGAGCTGGCAGGTGCCAGCAAAGGCCATCCATTTCCAAGGTTTTAGATTCCATGACATGGTGGGAAGCCTGGGAGAGAGGGGGTCAAAAATGCCCCCTGAAGATTCCTCCATATCCTTACTCCTTCTACCCCAGGCTCCCGGCTGCAGCGCCTGGTCCCAGCCAGCTATGCAGATGGCGTGTACCAGCCCTTGGGAGAACCTCACCTGCCCAACCCCCGAGACCTTAGCAACACCGTTTCGAAAGGCCCTGCAGGGCTGGCCTCCCTGCGAAACCGCACAGTGTTGGGGGTCTTCTTTGGTGAGAACTTCAACCTCTGGGGGAAGAAAGCCGGTGGGGTCAGCTGGACACCTCTGCAAGTGAGAGGATGAGAGAGAAGTGATGGAGGGCCTGAGGGATGAAGGCGAGAGGTGGAGGAGGCAGTGGGGTATGGTAGGGGTAGAAGCAGGTGCAGGGAGGATCCATGCTGAAGTGAAGTCTGGTTGGAGAGGCAGAAATCTTTCCCATGTAGAAATATGAGGGTGGGATTAGGGAAAAACAGCATCCCTCCATGCTGTGTTGTTAGTGGAGGTAAAAGTGTGGCAGACCCAGAAACATGAAAATAATCTGGGAGGGACTCTCTGGGGGGCCCTGTTCTTAGGCTTTGCCCTATGGCTTCTAGAACAGGCTTAGGGCAGGGCTCTGATTCTGGCAGAGTGGATTGAGGGGAAGGCAAAAGGGGGTGCTATGGTGGCCTGACCCCAGTGACTGAGGATTAGTGGCTGGCCCAGGAATGCGTGGCTCCTGCTGCATGTTGGAGCTGGTGCTGCCACCCCGTTTGCCTAGGAACACTCACAGGGCACCTCCCAGTTACCAGGGAGAAAGCCAAACTGTCAACGACAACAGCTTGGACCAGGTGTAGGCACAGAAGGGCAAAAGAGACAAAGGACTGGGAGGGAGTGTCTGAGGTCAAGGCTTGGACTTGCCTATAATGGCTGCTGAGTTTTTTGAAGCTTCAGGGGAGGGAGAGAGACTGGATACCCAGGGTAGGAAGGAAAGTGGCCCTCCCTGGCCCTAGCACCCCCTCCTGCTTTGCTCGCAGGCTATCACGTGCTCTCGGACCTGGTCAGCGTGGAAACGCCTGGCTGCCCCGCTGAATTCCTGAACATCCGCATCCCGCCCGGAGACCCCGTGTTCGACCCCGACCAGCGCGGGGACGTGGTGCTGCCCTTCCAGAGGAGCCGCTGGGACCCAGAGACGGGACGCAGCCCCAGCAACCCCCGGGACCTGGTGAGGCAGGGGAGGCGGCGGGAAGGGGCCGCACCCCAGCCAGGTGGGGCCCGGGCTGCAGGCCTGGAAGGGCCTGGCGGGGAGAGGCGCCCACTCCCCAGCCCCGGACACCCCCTGGGGCCCCGGCCTTCCCCGGCCCGCCGCCGCCCCCACGACCCCGGCTCGCCAGCCGCTTGCCCCGCAGACCAACCAGGTGACCGGCTGGCTGGACGGCAGCGCCATCTATGGCTCCTCGCACTCCTGGAACGACGCGCTGCGGAGCTTCTCCGGAGGACAGCTGGCGTCCGGGCCCGACCCCGCCTTCCCCAGAGACTCGCAGAACCCCCTGCTCATGTGGGCGGCGCCCGACCCCGCCACCGGGCAGAGCGGGCCCCGGGGGCTGTACGGTGAGACCGCGAGGGCGAGACGGGGCCGGCTGGGGGTCTTCGAGTGTGGGCTCCCGGGGTCACGCTACCGCTCATCTTCCCCCCTGCGCCCCCACGTCGGATGCAGCCTTCGGGGCCGAGCGAGGGAACCGGGAGCCCTTCCTGCAGGCGCTGGGCCTGCTCTGGTTCCGCTACCACAACCTGTGCGCGCAGAGGCTGGCCCGCCAGCACCCAGACTGGGGGGACGAGGAGCTGTTCCAGCACGCGCGCAAGAGGGTCATCGCCACCTACCAGGTCAGCCGTCCCCGCCCCGCGACGTCCCCCCTTCCGCGTGCAGGTCCACGGGAGACTCCGCTGCCCACGGAGCTCCCCATCCCTGGACAACCTTCAGCCAGAAACCCCTTCCCAGACAGCCGAGGTCTAGGGAAGCTCCTGTAAATGTTAGGGAGGCGCGCGCTGTTTATAGGTGAAATCTGGCTGGTGATGATTATTTATCACCTCCCCACCCCCACTGCCCCAAATGCCCTGGTTCCTTGCGGGGACAGGCTTCACCCCGCTCCTGTTTGAGTCGTTTCTCCCATGACTGCCCCTGCCTGGTCCATATCTCCATATGGAAACCGTTCTTGGGCTCAGACCCTCCCAGGCGCCGCCTGGTCCAACTCGCGCCTCCCCTCGCCCCTCTCTGCCCCTCAGAACATCGCTATGTATGAGTGGCTGCCCAGCTTTCTGCAGAAAACGCCCCCGGAGTATACAGGTGAGGGAGTGAGGAAGGAGGATAGGAGGGCTTGCGTGAGAGTGTTTTGCGGAGTGGGGTGTAGAGTATGTTGGGGATTTAAGGGCTAAATTCTTCCCTCCTTTCTTCTCCTATTCCCCAGGATACCGGCCATTCCTGGACCCCAGCATCTCCTCGGAGTTCGTGGCGGCCTCTGAGCAGTTCCTCTCCACCATGGTGCCCCCTGGCGTCTACATGAGGTGAGGAAGGGGCTCAAAGGTTTGTGTGCTGGGAGGGATGCGGCTTGTGCAAAATCTGCCCTCAGGAGCCCTCTATACAGGACTATCAGTCTGAAGTGTGCCCATTCCCCAAGGGAACGATGAATAGAGAGGGGAAGGAAAACAATTGTTTTAAAAGATACATCACTGTGGTTTTTAAGTACTTTTACTGCAGTGCTCCTGCAGCTGGTATAGCGATTAACCACCCACACACCCAAACCCCATGCCCACCCGCTCGCCCATTAAACGTAGAGTAATAAAGGTTCAGAGGGTGTCACAAAGGCCACTGGTCTATACCTCATGTCTTGACACTACACTGGGGACATTTTTAGCTATAATCACAGGGCTCAGGGCCTGCAAGCTTTTGGGGGCAGAGAGTTCTAAAATGTGTGTTATCTGAAGGAAAATATTGGCTTCAAGATAATGAAAAGGGAATTAAAAAAATAAAAAGACACAGGCCTAGCGATGTGGCTCACACCTGTAATCCCAGCACTTTGGGAGGCCGAGGCAGACGGATCACCTGAGGTCGGGAGTTAGAGACCAGCCTGACCAACAGGGAGAAACCCCATCTCTACCAGAAAAAAAAAATACAAAATTAGGTGGGTTTGGTGGTGCATGCCTGTAATCCTAGCTACTCAGGAGGCTGAGGCAGAACTGCTTGAACCCGGGAGGCAGAGATTGCTGTGGGCCCAGATTGCACCACTGCAGTCCAGCCTAGACAGCAAGAGCTAAATTCCATCTCAAAAAAAAAAAAAAAAAAAAAAAATGCATATTTAAATAAGTGTATATGAAACAAAGTATGTCTATTTTTTTTACAGTTGCTTTATAATTTAAAACAATTCACAGATTAGATTTACTCTAGAAATGTCTATTTTTTAATAATTGCTTTATAATTTAAACCAATTTGTAGATTAGATTTACTCTAAAATAATCTCTAGGGTATGCCTGATGATGTCTAAGAAATCATAGACAATTGAGTTATTCATAGACAAGTAGTTTCAAAATAACAATTTTTGAATCCTTTAAGAATGTTTATATGGGCTGGACGCGGTGGCTCACACCTGTAATCCCAGCACTTTGGGAGGCCGAGGCAGCCAGATCATGAGGTCAAGAGATGGAGACCATCCTGGCCAACATGGTGAAATCCCATCGCTACTAAAAACACAAAAATTAACCAGGTGTGGTGGCATGCACCTGTAGTCCCAGCTACTTGGGAGGCTGAGGCAGGAGAATCGCTTGAACCCAGGAGGCGGACGTTGCATTGAGCCGAGATCATGTCACTGCACTCCAGCCTGGGTGACAGAGCGAGGCTCTGTCTCAAAAAAAAAAAAAAAAAGATATATATATATACACATATATTATATATATAACTGTATGTATATATATTTTATATATATGTGTATATACATATATTGTGAGAGAGTCAGAGAGAGAGTGTGTGTTAATGAGCTGTGAGCACATTTTAGATATTTGGTCTGATGCTGTGGAAGGGACCTTCCAAAAGTGAGATCCTCCAGGACCTACTAAGGTCAGAACCACATGCCACCTCTGGGGCCCCTGGCTACTGCCTCAGGGACCAGAACTGATGCCTGACATTATAATCCCATTATTCAGTCACTATCTCCCTGCTCCTTGCATTTCAGAAATGCCAGCTGCCACTTCCAGGGGGTCATCAATTGGAACTCAACTGTCTCCAGAGCTCTCCGGGTCTGCAACAGCTACTGGAGCCGTGAGGTGTGAGCAGGGGGCCACAGATGTGGGTAGATGTGTGTGTGTGCATGTGCACACACATGGTGAAAGTGGGCAGTAAGGCTGAGGCAGGCAGCTGGGATGGGCTGGGGTGGAGGCAGCCTGGAAGACCTCAGGCATCTCCACTACAAAGTCTGAGGTGACTATGTAGCTGGACATGGCCAAAAGCCACCCACCACCCCCACCTCCACCTCAGGGCTGTGGGAGAGCTGGTAGAGCTGTGTAGGTGTGGTTCTGCATTCATTGCTCCCTCCCACCTTTTCCCTCTCTCTTGAGAGCTCTAGGTGTCCTATAGGCCTTAGAGTACCCCAGCTAGTCTCACTTGTCCCAGGGAAACTTCCCATTAGACAAAAATCCCCAGCAGTGTGTGAATGTGTATGTGTGAGGGAGGTGGGGAGGAAGCAGGGTTTCTTAGAGATTATTGGGGATTGTCCATCCATCCAAATCAGGCCAGTATGGGTGAAGAACATTGATCATTAATTTAAAGCAAAATGAGATACTTTGTGTAAAGTGTTTGCTGAGGGGAAGGGAGTGGGAGAAAGAGAAAAGAAGCCATAGAATCAGAGCCCTGGAGCTGAATCAAGAGGCCTCAGTGTCCCCCTCATCAGAGTGCCTTTTTATTAAGGGAAAGAAACTGAGTTCAGAGAGGGCCTGTGACCTGCCCAAGTTCATACAGCTGGTTAGTAACAGAAGACCAAGACCTAGATATTCCAGTGCCTTTGCCAACCACATTGTCAAACATCCCAAGGTAGAAGGAAAATGTTAAGATCCCTTGTGTTTGTACAGACCTCTGTCAGGCAGCATGGACTTTGGATGGGGACATCCCTCATCCCGAGTGGGGAATCAACCTGTAGAGGAGGAATGTCCCACCAGTTTGGGAGCAAACAGCAGGACTGGGTGGGCTCAGGGATAAGGATGATGATGTGGAGGGAGCCTGGCTGTCTAACCTCTGACCCCATTAAGCACGCTCCTCTCCTCCTCACCCCGAACCTATAAAGCACCCAAGCCTACAAAGTGCTGAAGATGTAGATTCACTGCTGCTGGGCATGACCTCCCAGATCGCAGAGCGAGAGGACCATGTGGTGGTTGAAGATGTGCGGGGTGAGTCTGAGGCTGTCCCTGAAGGATGTGAACTCCTGGCCTCTGGGAAGATGCTCAACTGGACCTCCAGAGCCAGGCATGAGGGGATGCCTGGGGCTGGGAGCCTGTACTGCACTCACTGCCGACAGAGCTTCTGACCTGCTGATCATGGCTCCTTCTGGTTCAGGTTCTCTGGGGCTGGTTGGAGCCTGGGGCCTGGACTGGAGACTGCTGTGGTAGCCCTGAGCTCCCTCACACTCTCTGGTATCTCATCTCCAGATTTCTGGCCTGGGCCACTGAAGTTTTCCCGCACAGACCACCTGGCCAGCTGCCTGCAGCGGGGCAGAGATCTGGGCCTGCCCTCTTACAACAAGGCCAGGGCAGCGCTGGGCCTGCCTCCCATTACCCGCTGGCAGGACATCAACACTGCACTCTCCCGGAGTGATGACACTGTGAGGAGGGGTCAAGACTCAGAGGGCAGGGTGGGAAGAATGAGGCACATGGGCCTGAGACATGGAAGATGGGCAGAGAAACTTGAGTACCAGAGCCAAGCACCAAATGGGAGGGGGAGGGCTTACCCAGATCACTTTTCCCAGTATTACATATCAAGATGAAGATTACCAGACCAGCAAGATTTGGCTTTGCACTCTGATTATTCAGATCCGGCAAGAATGTATTGAGCATATACTGTTTGCCAGGCACTTGATAGGCATTATCTCATTTACTATTCTCTCCACCCTCCTGAGTGGATATAGAAGGTCCTTGACTTAGGAACAAGCTGTGCTTTCTTGCATGTTAAAGCTCCCTTTCAGGAGTCAGCTGTAACACCGTGAGCTATCACCTGGACTGGTGGCATGCCTGCTAGCCAAGAGACCAGATTGGGCTACCTTATCACCTTGACACAGCAGTGTTTCTATAATTGTGTGCCTATTTTGTTGCATTTTGCCTTTTTTTTTTTTTTTTTTTTTTTTTTTTTTGAGACTGAGTCTCACTCTGTCACCAGGCTGGAATGCAGTGGCACGATCTCAGCTCACTGCAATCTCCACCACACAGGCTCAAGAGATTCTCCTGCCTCAGCCTCCTGAGTTGCTGGGACTACAGGCATGTGCCACCACACCCAGCTAATTCTTGTATGTTTAGTAGAGACAGGGTTTCACCATGTTGGCCAGGATGGTCTCGATCTCTTGATCTCGTCATCTGCCTGCCTCGGCCTCCCAAAGTGCTGGGATTACAGCGGTGAGCCACTGCACCCAGCCTGCCCTTACTATTTTATAGAATTATTGGAAAGTGGAGATTTGAAAGGCCAATAAAGAAGTTATATGAGCATGGGGGCTCGTAAGCTTTATAAACTCAATATATAGCTAGGAATCACCAGGCACACCAAAAGTAGCAAATCTTTAGCTTCAAATGGGCCTCAGTGGAATTAAGCTGGTTCAAGTGCTATTTACATAGCAGAGAAAAAAACTAAAGTAAAGGTCAGGTAGAAAATACTGGTGATATGTTTTTGAAAACTCTCTAAAAGGTAATATATAATCAGGCATTGATTAAAAAATGTTTAGCTCTAAAGAAGAAACTTTATAAGACTTCATTCTACTATTCTACTTTTGCACATTCTGATTTTATCCCTTCAACTTTCATAAACCTTTTCAAGAACGAGCTATGAAGGGGATTGGCTGGCTGTTTTATAACTTTGTTAAAATAGGCAGTTGAATGTGTGACAGGGTTCCCATAAATGGCGTTCACTTTTGTAAAGCACTCAGAGCAGTGCCTGGGGCATAATAAGCACTATATATGAATGAGTTACTGTTACTGTCATTTATTATTATCATTCCCGGGGCGAATTCCTGGGAGCCATCTCTTTGCCTGAGGGTGGGTGCTGGGTCCTTTCTCTGACTCTTGCCCCATCTTGGTTCCAGGTACTGGAGGCCACAGCCTCCCTGTACAACCAGGACTTGTCCTGGCTAGAGCTGCTCCCAGGGGGACTCCTGGAGAGCCATGGGGACCCCGGGCCCCTGTTCAGCACCATTGTCCTCGACCAGTTTGTGCGGCTGCGGGATGGTGACCGCTACTGGTTTGAGAACACCAGAAATGGGTAAGGCCTGCTGGTTCTCTACCTCGGCCTGGGCCCCAGATCTTCTGCCTGGCCTTAGTTCCCATGAGCCCCTGATTCCAAGCCAGCCCACCACCCACTTCCCAACCCCTCTGGGTCTCTTTTCTCACCTGGGTCCTTGGGCCTGGGGTTGCTGGAGGCCTGCATCCCCTTTCCATCCCAGTGACTTCTACTTCCTCCATCTTAGGCTGTTCTCCAAGAAGGAGATTCAAGAAATCCGAAATACCACCCTGCGGGACGTGCTGGTTGCTGTTATCAACGTTGACCCTGGTGCTCTGCAGCCCAGTGTCTTTGTCTGGCATAAAGGTGAGTGGCCAAGGGGTGGCTGGGGGAGTGGTGGGTCTGGAGCCTCGTTCCTCTTCAGATCTGGGCTTGGCTCAATGTGGCTGAACAGCTACCTCTGTGCTCCAAGAGGGGCGTGAGCTATAGTTCTGCCCTTGGGAACTCCAGGTTCCAGGGCTGCCACTTGCAGCTCTGTAGGGTCCCCTCTGCACAACTCCAGGAGGTGCTGAGTGAGGGCAAAAAAACAGAGAGAGCTGGCGAGGAGGTTTATATTCTGCTGCATTGAAGCTGAGGCTGGGTATAATATTAGGAGAGCTGCGTGCAGTAAGGATATCCCAACCCCACAGCAGTGAGGCACACGCTCGTGTGTGTGTGTACACGTGTGTGTGAGGGAGAGATGGAGGTTGGAATTCATTTTATACCCCATTTGTTACCCAAAGAAGCCCCTTCCCCTTAGCTACCCAGAGCGCCCCACCCACTTTCTGCCACCCTAACCTCCTCAGTTATCCTGTGCCAGCACCTGTGGCCCAGCACCCAGGACTCTGGCTTCCTCTTCCTCCCCAGGAGACCCCTGTTCACAGCCAAGACAGCTCAGCACTGAAGGCCTGCCAGCCTGTGCTCCCTACATCGTCCGAGACTATTTTGAGGGCAGTGGATTTGGCTTTGGGGTCACCATCGGTACCCTCTGCTGCTTTCCTTTAGGTAAAATGATGAACAGAGTGGGACCGGGTGAGAGATGCAAGCTAGGGAATGTGGTTCAGGTGGTTCCAATAATGACAGCAAACCACACAGAGCATGTTCTTTCTGGGTAGGCGAAGAAAACGTTAGAGGAGGAAGGGACAAGAGAAGTGTCTGGCCTGGAGAGAAATCAGCTCCTGGGGGAATTGCCTCCCTGTTCCCCTGGGCCTTCCCCTGCTGGACCCAGCTTTGGTCAAGAGCCAGGGGGAATCTATAAATCACAGCTTTTTGCAAGCCTGGGCCTTAGAGGACTGTCACAGGCAAATCTCTGTTTAAGAACAAGGGCTGGGGCACATGCAGTCGCTGGAGTGAGGGCTTGGGGCTTGATCTTTGGCAACGCTGTGTGGGGGTTATCTAGCAGCCTGGTGGGGTGAGTCTAGTCCCTGACATAAAGACTCTGGACTTAGTCTCTGGCTAGGAAGGGATGCGAGTGTTGGAAACCGAGGAGGCTGGGTGGGCATCTTAGATGCTACCCAAAGCTCCCCATGGGATGCAGAGCAGCTCCCCCAGGAAACTTCACAATTTGAAACAATTGAGCAAGCTGACCTAGGAGATGGGGAGAATATTGCCAGGAAAGGAGCTGACAAAGGAGCCGCTTCCATCCCCCAGACCCCTACCTCTCCCCCTTCCCAGTGAGCCTGCTCAGCGCCTGGATTGTTGCCCGGCTCCGGATGAGAAATTTCAAGAGGCTCCAGGGCCAGGACTGCCAGAGCATCGTGTCTGAGAAGCTTGTGGGAGGCACGGAAGGTAGGTCTAGGGCTGGCCAGGTTGGAGGTAGGAAGGAAATGGCTCAGTGCTACAGCCACCCATTGCCACCCCAGCGGCCTAAGGAAAAGGCCTCCCTTTTCTAGGACTGTAGGCAAGGCCGCAGTGGACCTTGGACCACATTAAGTTGGACCACATTAAGCAGAAGTTGGACCTGGAGTCCTGCAGCCTCCAGAGTTCCTAATGTGCAGGAGTCATTGGACCCTGCCTAGATTTTACAGGGTTACTATGATTCACGAATCCCTGGGCACTGCTGATTTGTAGCCTATCACGCTGGAACTCCAGGCAACAGAGAAGTGACTAATGAAGGTCCAGAGTCAGGCTGGAATTGGAATCTTGGTTCCACCACCACTATGGGCTATTGTGCCTTAGGCAGATATTTAAATCTCTCTAAATCTTTTTTTTTCCTTATCTATAAAATAGGAATAGTAATAGCACCTGGCACCTACCTCATAGATTTTTAATTAAATGAATTAGTTCATGCAGAGCACTTGGTATAGTATTGAACACACAGTAAACATTCAGGTAATGATAGTTACTATTCTTTCCATGGGGCTAGAGGCACACCTAGGCTTTCAAGGAGGGAATTACCCTCAGTACTCCAGAAGGGGACAATGAACTGTGGAGGCCTTGATCTAAATTCAGCCCTGAGCTGGCCCTCTTCCTCCCAGTGTACCTCTGGCAGGTCCCAGCTGACGAAGCCCTGTCTCTCTGCCCCCAGCTTTGGAATGGCAAGGCCGCAAGGAGCCCTGTCGGCCAGTGCTGGTGCACCTGCAGCCCGGGCAGATCCGTGTGGTAGATGGGAGACTCAATGTGCTCCGTACCATCCAGCTGCAGCATCCACAGCAGGTCAACCTCATCCTGTCCAGCAACCGTGGACGCCGCACACTGCTACTGAAGATCCCCAAGGAGTATGATCTGGTATGGCTCAGCCGGCATCTGGCTTCTTGTCCACAGCCAAGGCCAGGGAAGCAGCCAGGTGGAAGGGAAGGAGCACGGGGCCAGGAGGCAGGAAATGATAGTTATTGTGCAGGAGTCTGGCTTCTTGTCCTGATAGTACCTGATAGACAGATAAACTTGGACACATTTATTCTGCTCTGGGCCTGCTGGATGACATTATCTCCACGGTCTCCTCCTAACTCTTGCAACCACAGTCTGCCTCCTCCTTTCCTAAGGACTACCTGTCAGATCCTAGCTGGGTGTCCTTGTAAGAAGCAAAGCCCTCTTCCCTGTCCTCTTATCTCAGGATGTAGTGAATTCTTAGAGATTTTGGAGGAGAGCTAAATCAGAGGCCTGGCTCATGATCCTCTCCATCCTCTGGCCTCCCCAAACTCCTCTTCCTTCTCCAATGTGGAAGAGAGGGAAGAATTTCTTTGTACATGTGCCTTTACATACAAACTCTACACCTATGAGCAAGTCACTTAACCCTACAAAAAAGATACAGTATCTTTTTTGCAAGGCCACTCCAGTGGCCCCTATGACATAATCCATGTAAAGTGCCTAACCTCAAGAGGCCTTGGCAAATAGTTGCTTTTCTTGGGTTGCCGCCTTAGGTACTGCTGTTTAACTTGGAGGAAGAGCGGCAGGCGCTGGTGGAAAACCTCCGGGCAGCTCTGAAGGAGAGCGGGTTGAGCTTCCAGGAGTGGGAGCTGCGGGAGCAGGAGCTGATGAGGGCAGCTGTGACGCGGGAACAGCGGAGCCACCTCCTAGAGACCTTTTTCAGGCACCTTTTCTCCCAGGTGTGTACATGGGACCAGATCAGTCCTTATGCTGTGGTGGTGTCCGTTACCTGCATGAGGCCATGGGGGTGACTCCAGAGGAAGTCAGAAGCCCAGAGTTCTCGGCTAACAATCAAGTCTATTGCAATTTCAGATGAATCACCAGACTTTATCATAAGGAATTGCCTCTGTCCCCATCTGAACCCCACCTCCAACTACGAGGCTCTAGTCAGGGGATGCCCAGGAATGGGCTTCTCTGCATGCATTGCTTATCGCTTTCCTCAGGGCTGCCCATCCTCGCTCATCTCAGCCTGCTCCAAAGGCTGCAGAGACCCAGGGCAGTGTGGGCACCAAGAGAAATATTGTTCACCCCTCCTTGGGGAAGTGCAGCTGCTAGAGCCCTCCAAGGGGCATAGATGTCCACCTTGCAGACTTCTGAGAGCGACTGGGAGGATATAGGGAAACAAGACAAAAATGCAGAGACTTGAGTCCACAGCTGGCACAAAAATAAAGGCAGTCTGGGAGCAGAATAGAAGAGTGGAGAAACATGATAGATAAAGATAAATATGGCCAGGCATGGTGGCTCATGCCTATAATCCTAGCACTTTGAGAGGCTGAGGCAGGTGGATCACCTGAGGTCAAAGGTTTGAGACCAGCCTAGCCAACATGGCAAAAGCCTGTCTCTATTAAAAATACAAAAATTAAGGTCAGGTGAGGTGGCTCACGCCTGTAATCCCAGCACTTTGGGAGGCTGAGGCAGGTGGATCATGAGATCAGGAGTTCAAGACCAGCCTGGCCAATATGGTGAAACCCTGTCTCTACTAAAATGCAAAACTTAGCCGGGAGTGGTGGCAGGTGCCTGTAATCCCAGCTACTCGGGAGGCTGAGGCAAGAGAATAGCTTGAATCTGGGAAGCAGAGGTTGCAGTGAGCCGATATTGCACCACTGCACTCCAGCCTGGTGACAGAGAGAGATTTCATCTCAAAAAAATAAAAAATAAATACAAAAATCAGCCAGTTGTGGTAGCACATGCCTGTTATCCCATCTACTCAGGAGGCTGAGGCAGAAGAATCGCTTGAACCTGGGAGGCAGAGGTTGCAGTGAGCTGAGATCATGCCACTGTACTCCAGCCTGGGCAACAGAGACTCTGTCTCAATTAAAAAAAAAAAAAAAAAAGATAAATACAGCATGATTCTCCCACTGAAGTAACTTATCATTCCACTGGGAAGATGGGACATGCAAAGAAAGGAAGATAGCTAGCAAAGAATAAGGGCGGTAAAAGTGACTCAGGGAAATCAGTGATCGAGGAGCTCAGAGAAGACAGTGAGCCTTCGGTCTGCTGTAAGGTCATGATAGGAGGTGACATTTGGCAAGGACTCAAAATTGGACAAGTATTGGCTCAGAGGAAAGGGACACGAGGGACTGAACAGAGGGCCCCATAGAAGGGCAAAAAAATGGATGTTTGAGGAAAAACAGAAGGGTTGTGGCTGGGGAGAGGATTCATGAGAGAAGCAACCATTGAAGGGACATGTACTCTGTGCCAGGAACATGACTTAGTCATGTTGAGGACATGAAAGTCATCTGAGGACAAATAAGTTGAACTTGAACTTGAGTATGTACTAGAACAGAGGGACCCTCAGCTGGATGACTCCTTGCCAGAGCCCAGGCAGGACTGGGCAACTCCACTCATTCAGGAGCCATCAGGGCTATGGGAACTCCCTGTGCTGAGACATGGAGGGTGCTGATAGATACTGGGGGTAGCTTTCATACTCTCATATCTGCACAGTGACTTCAACATAACAACTTTTGTTGACTCTCACAATAAACCTGTGAGATAAGTAGGGCAGATGAGGAAATGAATCCCAGACAACTGAAGAGACTTGCCTGAGGTCATGCAGCAAACAGGTGACAGAGTTGGGACATGAACCTGGGTCTCTTGCCTCCAGCCCTAGGCTCTTTCCACTACAGTACCTCGTTTGAAGCTATAAGGTTTCACCTCTTGAAACCATCACCAGATTTGGAGTAGGCACCCCAGTTGACAGGCAGGAAAGACAGGTACTATGGCCTGTGGCCTGCTTGCTTCCTCATTGCCTATTCTCTCATGCTGGGGCAGCATCTGGGTGAGCTGGGGGTGGCCACAGTGATAATTCCCCTTTCCTAAGCCCAGCTGAAGCCTTGTTTTAGTTAAAACTTTTTTACATTTAAGTAAGAGAAACCCCAATAAGCTAGCATTGACAGAGGGTCACTTGACTCTGAGGATATGGGGATGTCTCCGGAATTCCAAAGGAAGGACTTCAAGTTGGCCTGAAAGGACCTAGAAAAGGAAAGCTGTCAGCCAATGAGGCCACTCCTCTTCTAGGCTGTCTCTGTCTCACTCTGTCTCTATGGCTGAGCACTTGGAAGAAGAGAATGGTCCACATTTTCTGAGCTTTCTTGTGCTCAGGTCATGACAGACCTCATACATTTTAGTTCCAAGTGAGCTCCCTGTACAGTCAGCTAAGACAGAGTGTCAGGGCTCTGTAGAACAAACATGGCCTCGGGGACCAGCATAGGGCCACCCAGCAGAGGGTGTCCTGGGAAGACACCTCAAAAGGTGGCTCCTACAGGGCTCAGCTGAAATTCAAGTCAAGGAATCCTTGTCTCCTCTCCCTCCCTCTGCTGCTGCCCAAGTGCAGGTGCTGGACATCAACCAGGCCGATGCGGGGACCCTGCCCCTGGACTCCTCCCAGAAGGTGCGGGAGGCCCTGACCTGCGAGCTGAGCAGGGCTGAGTTTGCCGAGTCCCTGGGCCTCAAGCCCCAGGACATGTTTGTGGAGTCCATGTTCTCTCTGGCTGACAAGGATGGCAATGGCTACCTGTCCTTCCGGGAGTTCCTGGACATCCTGGTGGTCTTCATGAAAGGTAAGAGAGGAGGGAATGATAGGAGAGGCTGGACAGGGGCTGGATTTGTTGGAGGTGGGGAAGCCCTGGGCCAGGTGTCCAGCCATGGCAGATGCCCAGGAGTGACCAGGCAGGGGTCAGGAAGCAGAGTGACCCTTGCTGTGTCCTGCAGTGGGTCATCACACTGGCGGAGTCCCCTTCTGGCCAGCCTGGGGGTTCAGGGGACTCTCCTTATGGAGTCCTCCCTCTCCCAGGCTCTCCTGAGGAAAAGTCTCGCCTTATGTTCCGTATGTACGACTTCGATGGGAATGGCCTCATTTCCAAGGATGAGTTCATCAGGATGCTGAGGTCGGTTTTCTCAACAGCCAAGAGAATGGGCCAGGGCAGGGATGCCAGGGCAAAGAGGTGGGACCTGAAGAAGAGAGCAGAAGGGCCAAGGAAGGCAGAGGCCTCCTTACCCATGTAACCAGAGGCTGTTCCAACTAGCAGGGGGCTTGGGTTTCGACCAGTCGGGGCCCTTCCACGTGGGCAGCAAGGGCTTGGTATGATGGAGTCAGTGTGCCCTGTGTCTGGGCCCCAGGCCCCAGTCAGGGCCTGATGGTTCCACTCCCCTAACCCCAGGTCCTTCATCGAGATCTCCAACAACTGCCTGTCCAAGGCCCAGCTGGCTGAGGTGGTGGAGTCCATGTTCCGGGAGTCAGGCTTCCATGACAAGGAGGAGCTGACATGGGAGGATTTTCACTTCATGCTGCGGGACCATGACAGCGAGCTCCGCTTCACACAGCTCTGTGTCAAAGGTGAGGCAGCCTGGTAGGCAGCATGGACTCACCGGTTAGGCATAGTAGGCACAATGCCCACATACTTTTAGGAGTCCACAGAAATGTTTTAATTTCTCTTAAAATCAGAAGGAAAAAAATGAATGTAGTAACATGAATATACAATAATGTATACAGCCTGGATTGTAGTTTTCCTTATATCATCATAATTTAAAAATATTTTTATTTTTTATTTTTATAGAGGAAAGGGCCCAAAAAGGTTTTAAAAGTGCCTAGGGCCCACAAAAGTCATAATGCAGCTCTGCTGGTGGGGTTGGTACCGTTGGGATAGGGTAGGGAATAGTGGTTGGAACTCTGCTTCCCCTGGCTCCCTGCCAAAGCCTTCTGTGCCTGGTGCCCAGGGCAGAGGGAGACTGTCTCCCTGTTACAGCCCTACCCAGGCCATACTCCTTTCAGCTGGGATGTCTGCTTGTGGGGATGAGGTGCTATCTCTTGGGGTTCTTTTGCCATTATTTCTCCTGGCTGAGTGCTCAGTAAATGTTTGCTGAGTACATGAAGACCCAGTTCTGTTGTCCTTCCCCCTACTTCCTGCCCCACCAGTGTCTGATTCAATTGGAGGCAGCTAGAGTTAAGAGTAAGGAAGGGGCAAGAAGCAGGCAGGAGTGTCTGTCTATGGTGTGCTCTGAGTTGTTACGGCATCTTCTCATCGTGGCACTGACACTGGGGCATGCTAAGGCCAAACCCAGGCCCTCCCAGGATTACGAGAAGGGGTAGGCTGAGCAGCCTCCATAGGGAAGAGGGGCAAGTTAGACAAGACACAGGTGAGCCTCTGGTCAGGGCTTCCCCCTGGGGTAAGGAGAGCTGGAAGAGAAGGAACCCAGCACTCCTGATTCTGCAGGTTTTTACCTTTCCCAGGCAGCCAGAGCAGCAGGCACCTGGGCGTGAGGGCAGGTGCAAGGAAGGTAAATGGAAGGGAGCCCACGCCAGAGTCCCAGGAACATCCAGCACCTGGGGTGGAGGGTATGACCAGGGTTGGGGATTGAGAAGAATTAGCACTATTATTTTATTTTCATTGTTGCTGTGTTGTACTTTGTTGTTGACTCCAGTTTTTGTTTTTTTGTTTGGTTTTTTTTTTTTTTTTGTGAAAGATTTAAAAATTAAAGAAAAGGAACAAAGAGCCAAGTGCAACAGCTCATGCCTATAGTCCCAGCACTTTTGAGAGGCCAAAGCAGGAGGATCACTTGAGGTCAGGAGTTTGAGACCAGCCTGGCCAACATGGTGAAACCCCATCTCTATAAAAAATACAAAAATTACCCAGGTGTGGTGGCGCATGCCTGTAGTCCCAGCTACTCCAGAAGCTGAGGCACAAGAATCGCTTGAACCAGGAGGAGATTGCAGTGAGCCAAGACTGTGCCACTGTACTCTAGCCTGGGCAACAGAGTGAGATTCTGTCTCAAAAAAGAGATGTTCCTTCACTTTTCACCTAGATATGCTATTTGTTACCATTTTGCCACATTTGCTGTTTGTGGAATATTTGTGAGTACAGGCATTAATGCTTTTTTTAAAACATTCTGATTTAACTCTAATTTAGTTCAGCTTGCCTTTTTTTGGCCTCAGCTATAGACCAGGGTCATCTTCAGGCTTGATTCAGGCACTTGGAAGAAACCCAGAGATTCCCAGGCCTCCTGTGAGAACTTGGCTTTGCAGCTTACTCCTGTCCTGCCTTCAGTGCTCAACCCAGACAGGAACAACGGGGTGGCTCCTAGAAGAATTTTTCTACTGAATATTTTATTATGAACATTTTCTAACACAGAAAAGTAGAAAGAACTGTAGTATGATCTCCCATACACCTACCACCTAGATTCTGCATTTAATTCTTGGTGGTTTTAAGCTGGAGGATCTTAAGCTGAATTTTTATGGCAGGGCGGGCTCAGCAGGCAGGTTATATACAGTTCCTAAACTCTACCCCATAGTCCCAGAAGTGGGACTGAGGATGGATACACTTTAGGGAAGCCTGCCTGGCCAACTTTGCTTCAGGCCTTCTCCCTGCCCACCTATGGCTGGGTCCAGCTCTCACTGGGGACAAGGGCTGAGACTGGGGCACCCGAAGTCAGGGCCTCCATTGGTTTGGGACTGTCCACTGTGTCTGAACATGGGATGGCAGGAGTGCTGTGCATCTGAGCCAGACCCTCCTGGGCTCTGGACCCTGCGCTCCTCCCTAGCCTGGCTCTGCTTTGCAGGGGTGGATGTGCCTGAAGTCATCAAGGACCTCTGCCGGCGAGCCTCCTACATCAGCCAGGAGAAGATCTGGTGAGCCTCCATCTGGGATGTTGGAGGGAGGAAATGTTGCCATTTCTCTCCAACATTTCCTCCCTCCAACATCCCTCTCCCCTGAATGGCTGGGATCAGGGCCACTGCTAGCCCATGTAGCACCTTCAAACAAATTAGAAAAAGACACCCCTTTCTCTAGGCAGACACAGCCCTGTGCCAGGCCAAGCAGAAAGCCTGCTGGATTTTCCCTCTCACTTACAGACTGGCCCAATGCCCTTGTGAAGGGTAAAGGCTTATGCAGCAGCCATAGTGAGGACCCCCAAGATCTGACTCACTCTGTCTGTAGGTGTCCTTGGGAATCCTGCTGTCCCCTTCTGACAGCTCTGATCCTTCCTCAGCAGAATGGGTGTGGAGGCAGACCAGGGCAGCAGAGGAACAAGTGGCTGAGATGGCTAGCATCCTATCTCTTACCATTCTTGTCTTAGTCCCTCTCCCAGAGTGAGTGCCCGCTGTTCCCGCAGCGGCGTTGAGACTGAATTGACACCTCAGAGACTGCAGTGCCCCATGGACACGGACCCTCCCCAGGAAATTCGGCGGAGGTTTGGCAAGAAGTATGCCTGCTCTTCCCCATAAGCCCAGGCAGTTCACCCATTCCTTCAGTTTACACACATCATTTCCTTGTTGTTAGGCTCTGTGCTAAACATTGTGGGTACAGGCAGGGTGAACAGTCCTTGTCCAAGAACATCACAATCTAAGGAGATGGTCTGGTACACTCATCATTTCAATGTCAACTGATGACTATTCTAATAGTGGTAAGAGCGAAGGGCTTTGGAACTCAAGGAAGCACTCATCTCTGCCAGGGAGGTCAGAAATGCCTTCATGGAGGCGGTGTCTTTTGAGTCTCTAGTAAAGGCTGTGAGTGCTGGGTGGGGTTTGGGAGCTACAGACTGAGTGTGAATGAACATGGGTGGATGGAGTACATCTCTGGGAAGAAATGACCACTCCAGGCCATCCCTCCACTGCCAGCTTGCTTATGGAGCGCAATATAGCCTGATGTAGTGAGGTCTGAACCTACTTCCACAAGAGTCACCCAGTTCCTTTTTCGGAAGTGGTGGGCTTCCCTCCTTCTGGGCGGCTCCCCTCAGGGAAGCGGGGCCCCACTAGTGTTGGGTCTGATGGGGGGCCAAGGGCTAAGGCTTCCTGTCTCCCAGGGTAACGTCATTCCAGCCCTTGCTGTTCACTGAGGCGCACCGAGAGAAGTTCCAACGCAGCCGTCTCCACCAGACCGTGCAGCAGTTCAAGCGTTTCATTGAGAACTACCGGCGCCACATCGGCTGCGTGGCCGTGTTCTATGCCATTGCTGGGGGACTTTTCCTGGAGAGGGCCTACTGTGAGTGACTTCACTTACCACAAGCCCTGTCCCTAGGCTTGCAATGAGTGATCGCCCTGGGGGTGAGGCCTACTGTGAGTGACAGACAGCCCCAGGGCTGGGCCTGCGATAACTGACAGCCCTGGGTCTGCCAGCCCTGGGTCGGGTGACTGCAACTTGCTGAATGGAGCCTGTCTGAGTGAAGACTGTGCGGGGGGACGCCTGTTGTGAGTGGCAACCAGCCTGCAGCTGATGACCTCCCTAACCAGCTCTCTCTCCTCTGCACTGCCCCTCCCTTGCCTGCCTGGGCCCCCTGTGCAGACTACGCCTTTGCCGCACACCACACGGGCATCACGGACACCACCCGCGTGGGCATCATCCTGTCGCGGGGCACAGCGGCCAGCATCTCCTTCATGTTCTCCTACATCCTGCTCACCATGTGCCGCAACCTCATCACCTTCCTGCGAGAAACCTTCCTCAACCGCTACGTGCCCTTCGACGCCGCTGTCGACTTCCATCGCCTCATTGCCTCCACCGCGATCGTCCTCACAGGCAGGGCCTGGGTGTCCTTGGGAGGCTCTCCAGGGCCTCCCACCCCGCTGGCTTCCCCTCCTCTGAGAGACCCCTCTCTGCTGGCATTTACCTTTAACGTCCTTCTCCATCAGGATGGAGTTGGCCTGGGCCAGGGTGTGAAGTAAGCCAGGGAGTGAGCCCATCACTAGTCACTGCCAAGTGCCTCTCCCCACACTTTCCAGGGTACCACACTAGCCTCACCTGACGAGTTACTAACACCCCAGAATGAGTGTGCATTAATGTGTCATTTCTCCCACTTTTTATGTTTTAAAGTATGACTCTGTGAGAGAAAGCATAGGAGTGAACTTGTAATGCTGTAATTTCAGATTCACATGGTTATGTGCATGGATGGTGTGTCTGTGGGGTATGCAGTAGGGCCAGGAGATTGGTTAGAGGTTAAAAGTCCAGGGTAGGTGCTGTGGCTCACGCCTGTAATCCCAGCACTTTGGGAGGCCGAGGCAGGTAGATCACTCGAGGTCAGGAGTTCAAGACCAGCCTGGCCAATATGGTGAAACCCTGTCTCTACTAATAAAAAAATCAGCCAGGTGTACTGGCATGCACCTGTAGTCCCAGCTACTTGAGAGGCTGAGGCAGGAGAATTGCTTGAACCTGGGAGGCAGAGGTTGCAGTGAGCCAAGATTGCACCACTGCCCCCCTCCAGCCTGGGCAACAGAGCAAGACTCCATCTAAAAAAAAAAAGGTCAGAAGCCCCCTAGGGTGCTTCTTCAGGCCCCCTACTCTAGCCAGAGTCCTCCACCCTGGGCTGAGCACCTACCCTGGGCTGCCCCAGGCTCACCACCGTCTGCTCTTCCTTAGTCTTACACAGCGTGGGCCACGTGGTGAATGTGTACTTGTTCTCCATCAGCCCCCTCAGCGTCCTCTCCTGCCTCTTTCCTGGCCTCTTCCATGATGACGGGTGAGTAGGTGTAAGTGTGTGTGTATGTGTTGTGTAGTGGGAGGATTCCTTTTGGGTGGAAAGAAACAAATTATCTGGCTTGGAGGAGAGTGTCACCTTCTAGGTTACAGGACAGACAGTGACCAGCCTGAGCCCCCAATGCCAAGTCAGCAGGAGAGACTGGCGTCTGAGTTGGGATGCCTCCCCTGGAGGGTCCCATCTGGAAGTCCCAGAGATCTCTCAGGGTCTCTCTTGCTGTCCCTTTCACACAGGTCTGAGTTTCCCCAGAAGTATTACTGGTGGTTCTTCCAGACTGTACCAGGTAAGAACCCTCCCTGATCCATGAATTTCTGGACCTGACTGTGAGCTCGAGGCTCTGGGTTCTCTGCACCCCGGAGCAGACCAGGTTCACTCACTCAGCTCTTCTGGTGACCCAGGCTCTGCCCTCTGGCCGGAGGACACTACTGGGTGGCAGGAGACTTAGGCTACTCTGCAATGCAGTCCTCCTCCCAGCTTAGCTGGGTTCCTGCCCCTACTTTGGGCTAGTTCCTCCTCTAGTAGGGGTAGTAGGAGAAATACCTCCTACTCTGGACTAGTTCCAGTGGAATAGGAGTGGCTACCTCTTCCTCCAACACACACATACCATAACAGTAGCTTGGAGAAATTCTGTGCTCCAGCTGCATGGGGGAGGGGTCAGGCTCTTTGTCAATCCAGACAGAGGCCTCTATCCAGTATGCCTTGAGAAGAGTGTTTGGGGGATATTTCTAACTCCTTATAATCACCCATCTTAGAGCTATTAGCTGTGAATCTATTCAAACTCTCTTGAAGCTATTTATAGTTTCAGTCTGTTCCTTCCTTGGGGTAAGACAATTTCTATACTGGCTCCTCTCTGTGAAACACAGCATGGCTTTTTTTTTTTTAATCCTAAAATGATCTGCTTTGAACTTCAGAGGGTGCTTGCTAATTCCTGCACACTGAGATTTAGTGGCTAAGGCTGTGTTTATGCTCTCCTCTCCTTTTAGGACTTTACAGGCTTTGGTTAGATCCCTTCTTAACCTTTGCTTTTTTATACTTCAGGGCTCTAATCTTCTTAACTTCTGCCTCTCTCCTCCTTGATCACTTGAGGGACCATTCTCTGTCCTCCCCACCCTGCCCTGGCTCCAGTATTATCCCCCTATATACCCATAGCCTGCATCCCCTGTGAGAGGAGGGGCCTGCCACCAACTCTGGGTTGTACTTGGGGACTCTGGTGATGAGCAGGTAGTGTGGTCCTGCCCAGCCACTAACAGTGCCAGTGCTCATGTTGTGTGCTATGGCAGCCAGTGAAGAGTGATGCAGGGACAAAGACCAATGACTCGACGAGGGCAGGCCTGCCATTTCTATTGTCTGGCCCAGAGTGGACACCCTGTGCATCCATTCATTCAGCACACATTTATATAGGGCCCATGGTGTGCCAGGCCCCTGCACTAGGCACTGGGATTCAGTGGCAAACTTAGCCCATTCCTTGTACTTGAAAACCTGAGGGTAAGGAAAGTGACATACAAAAACCAAATAATGACATGGGTGAAAAATCGGCTGGGCACAGTGCCTCACACCTATAATCCCAGCACTTTGGGAGGTCAAGGTGGGAGGATCACCTTAGGCCAGGAATTCAAGACCAGCCTGGCCAACATGGCAAAACCCTATCTCGACTAAAAATACAAAAATTAGCTGGGCATGGTGGTGCATGTCTATAGTCTCAGCTACTTGGGAAGGTGAGACAGAATCACTTTAACCCAGGAGGTGGAGGTTGCAGTGAGTCAAGATTTTGCCACTTCACTCCAACCTGGTGACAGAGTGACAGAGTGACACTGTCTCAAAAAAAAAAAAAAAAAAAAAAAAAATCATGGTGACAAGGGCGATAAAAAATGAATAAGGTCTGCAGAAATAAAAGGTACTTAAGATCAGTGGTGTGGGGAGAGAGGACCAGAGGAGAACGCTGGGACATTCTTACCCCAACTTGAGCAGTAGAGAGGGGACCTTGGAAGCCCCAGAATAGTCCCCTTTCAAGGCACTGTTCTCCACCTTCCACCCTATGTTCATGTTGCAGGCCTCACAGGGGTTGTGCTGCTCCTGGTCCTGGCCATCATGTATGTCTTCGCCTCCCACCACTTCCGCCGCCGCAGCTTCCGGGGCTTCTGGCTGACCCACCACCTCTACATCCTGCTCTACGTCCTGGTGAGGGCTTTTGGTGATGAGCCAGGCCAGGAGGGTATGGGTAGGACATTTCCAGAGAGGGAAGGAGGGTTGAGACATTCGTTCTATTTCAAGCTATCTGAAGCATCCTCTTCACTTCTCCACATCCCTCTTTGAAGGTGGAGATGATAGTACAGGGCTCTCCAGTAGGATGACCCCAATATGCAGCACTTGGAAGGTCAGCTCCCTAGCATGGGTTTTGCAGTAGCAGCCCTGCCAGACTAATCTCCATTCCTCAAAGACACCTCTATGTCACTTCTGCCCAGCTAGTCTTTCCTCACTTTGGGTGGCTGCATTTGGTTCCTGGGTGGACTACTTGCACCCAAAAGAACATCACCCTTTTTGAAGAAACTTATATTAAATGGGTTCTGCCATTTTTGTTCTGATCCTATTTTGGGGGGCATTAGTCATACCACCCAACTAACTGCCACTTGTACAGCATATAAGCTTGTTCAAAACGTCTTCAGATGGACTGCCAATCAAATGATTCAAATGATTTTTTTTTTTGAGACGAAGTCTTGCCTTGTCACCCAGGCTGGAGTGCAATGGTGCAATCTCAGTTCACTGCAACCTCTGCCTCTCGGGTTCAAGCCATTCTCCTGCATCAGCCTCCTAGGTGGCTGGGACTATAGGCACGTGCCACCACGCCCAGCTAATTTTTTGTATTTTTAGTAGAGACAGGGTTTCACCATGTTAGCCAGGATGGTCTCAATCTCCTGACCTCGTGATCCACCCACCTCAGCCTCCCAAAGTGCTGGGATTACAGGTGTGAGCCACAGTGCCCAGCTGATCAAATGGATTAAGACTCTACCTTCTGCCTCCCTTGGGTTTCTCACTGGCTGTTTAGATGGTTAGTTCCCAAGCTGATTCTGTGTCCCTGTGTTGTGGCTCTGCTTGCCTGCCTTCCTCATGAAGAGAGACCTTTCCCCAAAAGGTACTCTGAGGGCCTCATTTAGAAGCTAAACCAAGTCCCAAGGCCCCAGCTCTTCCCTGCAGCAGAATGGCACATAGGGCTCTCCTTCGTGCTGAAACAAAGAGACAGTACACCATGGCTTCAATCAGGTTGGCTCCTGCTGTCTGACCTGCCTTCTCTCAGGTGCGGTTCTGTCCTCACTGACAGCAGGGTCTGTTTCATCTTGCCTGTGGCTCAGCATTTCACAGTTCTGAAGATGACTACTCAGCCTTGGCATGATGATGTGCATTTCCTAAGAAATCTCTTTCTTTGGAAGCTGTGACTAATTTACCCTCTCTTCCTCTTCCCAATGATGAGCGGAGCCCTAGCATTCTTGGCTACTGATTCTTGTGGGGGTGGAGATGACATTCTTGTTCTTGGTGATAGAGCAGCTACTTTGAACTAGATGAGAAATCCACAAGGGTGGCCAGGCAGGCTCCCTAAGACCCAGAGCACTTTCTGATTTGTCCTGGGGTATAGGCATCACTAGGATTCTAAGCCACCCTTCTTGCAGGCAGGAAAGTCAGGGACTCGATAGCTGCAGCCAGGCACAGCGGCTCACATCTATAATTGCAGCATGTTGGAACACCAAGATGGGTGGATCACCTAAGGCCAGGAGCTCACGACCAGCCTGGCCAACATGGTGAAACCCCTTCTCTACTGAAAATACAAAAATTAACTTAGGAAGCTGAGGCATAAGAATTGCTTGAACCCAGGAGGTGAAGGTTGCAGTGAGGTGAGATCGCGCCATTACACTCCAGCCTGGGCCACTGATGGAGACCCTCTCTAAACAAACAAACAAACAAACAAACAAAAAAAAACAAAGAAAAAAAGGTGCATTCCTCTATGCTAGGCTATACTCATCTGCAGTTTGGGACAATCTCATCTGGGCTCCCCTCATCAGGGCAAAAGTACCCTCTTCGTTCCCACTTATCCCAGGTGTGAACACTTAAATTCAAGCAGAAAGAGAAATTACAAGTAAAGGACCCTAGCATAGACTAGACCCTGGGGAAGAATGGCCAGTCTTCTGATCCAGGCAGAAGAGGGCAGGGCTAGCACCTCAGAGGCTGAGCTGGCTGGCTACCCCTACCACCCTATCCTACCAGCCAACAAGGAATCTGCAGCAGCCTTGTGGTTTAAAAGGAAAGCCAGCACAAAATAGGGTGTATAAACAGAGCAGCATGACATCACCCTGCCATTGTACTCAGCCTGTTTGGAGGCTCAGAAAGCCTCAGGGGTGGGTGTAGGCTCCACAATGAAACAGTGAACTTGGGGAAGGAATAGCCAGTTTAAAGAAGAGCTCAGAGAGGTTTCAGTTAGTCTTCTAAGGGAAAGGTTCAAGAATCTAGGAAGACTCAGCTGGGGGAAGGAACTCCTAAATGCAGAACCAGAGGTCAGTTTAAAAGCTATCTGTTGGCCATGTGGGATGGCTCACTCCTGTAATCCCAGCACTGTAGGAGGCTGAGGTGGGCGGATCACGAGATCAGGAGATTGAGACCATCCTGGCTAACATGATGAAATCCCGTCTCTACTAAAAAATTAGCCAAGCATGGTGGCACGCACCTGTAGTCCCATTACTCAGGAGGCTGAGGCAGCAGAATAATTTGAACCCGGGAGTCGGAGGTTGCATCGAGCTGAGATCACACCACTGCACTTTAGTGAGACTCTGTCTCAAAAAAAAAAAATAAAACTAAATCTGTTAAGGGTCTATTGTGTACTAGCTTTCTGTAGCACCCAGCAGCAGAAGGGGAGACTCTTATCTGTTCCTTAGGAACTTAGGATTCGCTGTGACAAAGTGGCACATGTATGAAACGATCAAAATGAACACTTGCTATAGGATTAATTACTGAATGAAGTGTTCCAAAGAGGAAGTTACAGGAGTTCATTGAAAGGAGTTTCACTTGGGCTAAAGTGGCTAGGGAAGACTTTGAGGAGAAGATTGGACTTGACCAAGAGTCTCAGAGAGACAAGCTAAGCTTTGACAGGGCAGAGTGAAAACTGAAGAGCAACCTGGGTAAAAGGAAGGGCATGAGTACAGGTGCAGAGATGGGAACGGCGATAGGACATTCAGGAGACAGAGGGGACAGGCCTTGCTGTGGATGGTTATAGGGCATTAGGTTGTGGCAGGACATGCTGCTGGTGATCATGTGGAGGCTGCAGCTGAAACTGAGGGGCTGTGGCTCAGCTGAGAGGCCAGGCCACATGGCAGAGCATGACAGAGAAAAGAAAAAGAGAAAAGCAGAGCGTGACAAAACCAGGCTTGGGCAACACCCATGACTGGGAGTGGCAGCAGGAATGAAGCCAGTGGAGGAGATGGAAAGCCAGTGGCCCAAAGTGGGAGAAGCAGTAGAGCACTGCTGCAGAAGTGGCAAGAGGTTGGTCACCATGCAAAAAATTAGCTGGGCATGGTGGCGCGTGCCTGTAATCCCAGCTACTCTGGAGGCTGAGGCAGGAGAATTGCCTGAACCCAGGAGGCGGAGGTTGCGGTGAGCCGAGATCGTGCCATTGCACTCCAGCCTGGGTAACAAGAGCGAAACTCCGTCTCAAAAAAAAAAAGAGGTTGGTCACTATGCCTCAGGCTGCCAAGAGTAGGAGCCAATGTGGCCTGAAAGGAGACCTTGAGATTTGGCCATTTGTGGGGCTGCTGGGCCCTCAGTGGGAAGGTCCTAAAGAAAGGTGGAGGCAGAAGTCAGACTGGGCCAGACTCTGGAGCAAGCAAATGGGAAGAATGTGGCCAAGTAGTGTCTGACCATTTTAGATGAACTTACTAGGGAAAGGACCAGAGCTGGATGATACCTGTCAGTTATTTCATGGAAAAGGGAAAGTAGTTAGGTATTCTTAGCCTGGAAAAGGAGAGGATAAACTGGGGAAAAGCCTTTCCCCAACAGTTATTGAGTGCCTCTGTATGCCAGGCAGAAACTGCTAGGAGCTTATAATAGCAAACAGTCCCTACCCCTTCAGTCCAGTGGGAAAAACAACAGTAAACATGTAAATGAATGAGCAAGCGGAAGTACTGCTGGCCGGGTGTGGTGGCTCATGCCTGTAATCCCAGCACTTTGGGAGGCTGAGGTGGGCACATCATTTGAGGTCAGGAGTTCAAGACCAGCCTGGCCAGCGTGGTGTAACCCCCGTCTTTACTAAAAATACAAAAATTGGCCGGGCGCGGTGGCTCAAGCCTGTAATCCCAGCACTTTGGGAGGCCGAGGCGGGTGGATCACGAGGTCGAGAGATCGAGACCATCCTGGTCAACATGGTGAAACCCCGTCTCTACTAAAAATACAAAAAACTAGCTGGGCGTGGTGGCGTGTACCTGTAATCCCAGCTACTTAGGAGGCTGAGGCAGGAGAATTGCCTGAGCCCAGGAGGCGGAGGTTGCGGTGAGCCGAGATTGTGCCATTGTACTCCAGCCTGGGTAACAAGAGCGAAACTCCGTCTCAAAAAAAAAAAAAAAAAAAAAAAAATTATCCAGCTGTGGTGACGGGTGCAGTAATCACAGCTACTCCGGAGGGTAAGGAAGAATCTCTTGAACCCGGGAGGCGGAGGTTGCAGTGAGCCGAGATGGAACCACTGCACTCCAGCCTGGGTAATAGAGCAAGACTCTGTCCCCCCATCCCCCAAAAACGACAGTACTATGGATGACAATGCATACTCTTTGTTTTTTTTGTTTTTGTTTTGTTTTTACTATCTCCAGTAATGGGTATAAGCAAGACAATGCATACTCTAAGAGAGTCAACCGGCAGATGTGGTAGACAGGACTGAAGGGAGGCCTGAGGAGGTGGTGTTTCTACTGAGACCTGAAAAATGAGATTGAGCTAGCCATGGAAAGAACGAGAAGGACATTGCAGACAGGAGATGCAAAGGTCCTAAAGCAGAAAGGACTTGCCACGTATGAGGAAGAGGGGAGAATGGCTAGCAGCTAGAGGTCAGAGTACTTGTGAGGCCTTGTAGTGCAATGGGAAGGCCACCAAAGCTTTTAAAGCTGGGGATGAACATGATACAATGAATTTTAGAAAGTCACACTGGCTGCCTTGAAGAGACAGGATTATAGTGAGGCAAGACAAGACAACCTTCCACTGGAAGGCTGCTGCATATGTCCAGGTGACAGGCGACATCGCTTGGTCTAGAGTGGTGTCAGGGATCTGGAAAATACTCTTATTCCTCATGGAATGCTATGGAGGATGGAGTTGGGAGTGGTGAGGTTTTGCACCCTGGAAGGAGCATGGTATGTGGTAAGGTGGAGGCTGGATATACCAGCGGGGAAGGATGCAGGGTCTAAGGCCTGAGCTGGCCCCACACTCTGCCGTGGGTGTCGCTAGGTCTCAGTAGAGCTCTTTCCCCCATCCAGCTCATCATCCACGGTAGCTTTGCTCTGATCCAGCTGCCCCGTTTCCACATCTTCTTCCTGGTCCCAGCAATCATCTATGGGGGCGACAAGCTGGTGAGCCTGAGCCGGAAGAAGGTGGAGATCAGCGTGGTAAAGGCGGAGCTGCTGCCCTCAGGTACTAGTCTGGCAGGAGATCAGCTTGGTGGCACTTAGGGAGCTGACGAGGCAAAGGCAGAGTATATACCACATAGTCTCCTGGTTGGGCCCAGTGGAGCTTGCAGGGACTTTGGGTGGCGAGGACAAAGAAGCTGATGGGGGCTGGGTATGGTGGTTCACGCCTGTAATCCCAACACTTTGGGAGGCTGAGGTGAGCAGATCGTGAGGTCAAGAGATAGAGATAGTCCTGGCCAACATGGTGAAACCCTGTCTCTACTAAACATTAAAAAATTATGGCCGGGCGCGGTGGCTCAATCCTGTAATCCCAGCACTTTGGGAGGTTGAGGCGGGTGGCTCACGAGGTCAAGAGATCGAGACCATCCCGGTCAACATAGTGAAACCCCGTCTCTACTAAAAATACTAAAAATTAGCTGAGCATGGTGGCGCGTGCCTGTAATCCCAGCTACTCAGGAGGCTGAGGCAGGAGAATTGCCTGAACCCAGGAGGCGGAGGTTGTGGTGAGCCGAGATCGCGCCATTGCACTCCAGCCTGGGTAACAAGAGCGAAACTCTGTCTCAAAAAAAAAAAAAAAAAAATTAGCTGGGGGTGGTGGTGTGTGCTTGTAGTCCCAACTACTCAGGAGGCTGAGGCAGAATTGCTTGAACCCAGGAGGCAGAGGTTGCAGTGAACTGAGGTCACGCCACTGTACTCTATACACCAGCCTAGGGACAAAATGAGACTCCATCTTAAAAAAAAAAAAAAGCTGGTAGGAAAGAGCCCTTTGCCAGAGGACCTAAGCCTCTCTCATCACAGAGCAGAGAAGCTCAGGTGAGGCTTCCCCTTGCCCAGCTGACTCTCAGCCCCAGTGCTGCCTGGCCTCCCTCAGGGTGAGCTTCTGATGGAATAGGCTTCCCTAGTCATATTCCAGAAGCAGAACTGAGGCTGCGCGTGGGGAGCTCTCTGGAGGCCACATTGTTGCTGGGTTCAGGGCAGCAGCCTCCACCCACCATCCCTCCCCAGGAGTGACCTACTTACGGTTCCAGCGGCCCCAGGGCTTTGAGTACAAGTCGGGGCAGTGGGTGCGGATTGCTTGCCTGTCTCTGGGGACCACTGAGTACCACCCCTTCACACTGACCTCCGCGCCCCATGAGGACACACTAAGCCTGCACATCCGGGCAGCAGGGCCCTGGACCACTCGCCTCAGGGAGATCTACTCAGCCCCGACGGGTGACAGATGTGCCAGATACCCAAAGGTACCAAACCCAGGCCAGATGTGTCACATGCTCCCATATCTCCTTTGAAGGCCTTGGCCCGGCAGCACTAGACTCCCCACTCTGTTCCTTCCCTCCCCGCACCTAGAGACGGGTTGTTACAGATAATGGCACAAACCCTCCTCTTCCCCTCACTCCATATATGTATCTGCCTTCCCCTCTCTCTCATTTCTGACTTCAGATCTATGGTGGTGGCCAAGCTTAACTAAAACCCACGTGCTTCCCTACAGCTGTATCTTGATGGACCATTTGGAGAGGGCCACCAGGAGTGGCATAAGTTCGAGGTGTCAGTGCTAGTGGGAGGGGGCATTGGGGTCACCCCTTTTGCCTCTATCCTCAAAGACCTGGTCTTCAAGTCATCAGTCAGCTGCCAAGTATTCTGTAAGAAGGTGAGTGCCCCTTCTTCCCACCAACCCGTGGCCCCTTCTTCCTTGTCATGGTACCCATCTGTGCCTTTCTCCCCTGCCTTTGTTCTTGGTTTCCCTGAACTGGGCAGCAGCAAGTTGGTTTGAAACCCGGGGTTAGGTCGTGGATGGGGTGGTATCAGGATATTACCCTAGACCCTGAAGGACAGAAATGGTTTACAGATGCCTCCAGGATCCAGCCTGGTTTACAAAAACTCCTTCCCTCAGTTAGGGGTGTTCCACATAGGATTTACTTCTCAAAGTTCCTCTAGGAAAGGTTGGAGGGGGTGAAGAAACCCATTCCTTCTTACAGAGGAGCCCAGCACTTGGAGCCTTGTTGCACTGGAAAAGGGAAGGGCACATGGGTGGGGCACAAATGAAACTGGCTCAGATCAAGAGGAAGAGGAGGAGAGGGGGCAAGGCAGGGCTGTTGGGCCAGGTTGGCACCAGGAACACAGCTCAAACCCTGAGGCCCTCGCATGGGTCCTTTCACCCCAGCCTGGACCTGGTGGCAGGCCCCTGCTCGTCTCTCTGGGCCTGGCAGGTGAGTCAGGGGCCCTGGAATGCAGTGGGCAGAGGCCCAGCCCATGTGCTGTCAGCGTTCAGAGGGTGACAGCTCCCCTCCTCTTCTGTGCTTCTTCTTTTTTTCTTTTTTGTGAGACAGTGTCACTCTGTTGCCCGGGCTAGAATGCAGTGGTGTGATCTTGGCTCACTGCAACCTCTGCTGCCCAGGTTCAAGCCATTCTCCTGCCTCAGCGTCCCGAGTAACTGGGATTACAGGCACCTGCCACTGTACCTGGCTAATTTTTCTAGTTTTAGTAGAGATGGAGTTTCACCATCTTGGCCAGGCTGGTCTTGAACTCCTGACCTCATGATCCACCTGCCTCCGCCTCCAAAAGTGCTGGGATTACAGGTGTGAGCCACTGCACCCAGCAGCCTTCTGCTGCTTAACTATACAGCCCCATTTTTCCTGCTCAGAAGCTCCCCACAGGGCAGCTTCCAACCACTGATCTCTTTGATCCTATCCCTATTTGCCCATGCAGCTGCTGGGTCTCCCTGAGGCTTTTCTGTGAAATGCCCTTCAGGCACTAGGTACCTGGCAGCCTAAGCAGGGACCACTGGAGGGAACTGTAGGACAGGCTGAGCATGAGAGCTGCTTCCCATCCCACAGACCTTCACCCAGGGACCACTGGAGGGAACTGTAGGACAGGCTGAGCATGAGAGCTGCTTCCCATCCCACAGACCTTCACCTGGCAATCACCAAGGGACCTTTCCCATGACCCTGGGCTATCTCTCACTTCCACCTCTCCGTGCCCTGGGGCAACTCCATCTCTGGCCTCAGAGTCTGGCCCTATGGCCCATACACTCCATCTCGCCAGCCTGTCTAGGGAGGGACACAAGCTGACTGAGGTCAGAAGAGTTCTATCGGTATGGATACCCCTGGGATCTAGGGAGGCTGAGCTGAGTCCTGAGCTCCGGCCATGTGTCCCCAGATCTACTTCATCTGGGTGACAAGGACTCAGCGTCAGTTTGAGTGGCTGGCTGACATCATCCGAGAGGTGGAGGAGAACGACCACCAGGACCTGGTGTCTGTGCACATCTACATCACCCAGCTGGCTGAGAAGTTCGACCTCAGGACCACCATGCTGGTATGTCAGGGCCCGCCAGGCAGGGTATGTGGGACACTGTCTGAGCTAGAAGTTGACCCTAGCTGTGCCTGGCTGAACTTTGTTCCACCCTTCTCTACCACAGTACATCTGCGAGCGGCACTTCCAAAAGGTTCTGAACCGGAGTCTATTCACGGGCCTGCGCTCCATCACCCACTTTGGCCGCCCGCCCTTTGAGCCCTTCTTCAACTCCCTGCAGGAGGTCCACCCCCAGGTCAGTCTCACCCATATCCAGGTTCTCTTCATCTTTATCATTTGGGGTCTGAACAAAGCTCCGAACCCTGCACCATCAAGGAAGAAATCGACTGCTGATGAGAACCCATCCCCTGGGAGATTGGTGGCGTAATGGAAGAGAAAGGATAGGTGGGAGGGTCACCCTTAGGTGCTAAGGAGGAGGCAGGCAATAGGGACTTGCCATCTCTGAAGCCATGATGTATTGTCCAGAAAGAAGAGCTCAGTTATTGAGCTAGTCCTCGCCATAAACTCAGGGCTACCCTCACCATTAATACTGAGTCAGCCCTCACCCTAGACACTGAGGTAACTAACCTTTACCACGAGCACTGCACTAGTCACTACTGGGCTAGCCCTCCATGAGATGCTGAGCTTTTCCTCAACTTGAACACTGATTAACCCAAGCCCTATTAGAAATGTTGATCTAGCACTTAGCAAAATTCCACTAGACTTAATACTAAGCCAGCCCTCACCATGCATGGTACAAAGCAAACCATCAGGAGCACTGCTGGCTTTTTCTTTTAAGAAAGGGTGTTGCTCTGTCACCCAGGCTGGAGTGGGGTGGTGCGATCCGTTTACTATAACCTCCAACTCCTGGACGCAAGCAATCCTCCCGCCTCAGCCTTCCAAGTAGCTGGGACTACCACTAGTGCACTATGCCCAGCTAATTAAAAAAAAATGTAGAGACAGGGATCTTGCTATGTTGCCCAGGTTGGTCTTGAACTATGGAGCTACCCTTCCTGTGAACTCTGAGTTATCCCTGCCTCTGAAAACTGAGCTAGCTCTGCCTCTGAGCAATGAGCTAGCCTTCACTTATTCCTCCTCCAACAGGTCCGGAAGATCGGAGTGTTTAGCTGTGGCCCCCCTGGCATGACCAAGAATGTGGAAAAGGCCTGTCAGCTCATAAACAGGCAGGACCGGACTCACTTCTCCCACCATTATGAGAACTTCTAGGCCCCCTGCCCAAGGGCTCTGCCTACCGCCCAGTTGGGCAGAGCTTTGGGCCCATACCTCATTTCTGTTCTTCCTATTTCTGGCTACCTCAGCCTTCTCTCATTTCTGACCTTTCAACCTTGTTCCAGGTGGCCATGGTCAGTCACCATGTGTGGGCTCAGGGACTCCAGGATGTGTCTCAACCTGGAGAAATGGGGGGCAGTGTCTAGGAATTAGAGAGAAGTAGGGGAGCTACTGGTTGGGGGCAAACTGAAACTTCTTCTTCGACTTCAAAACAAAACAAAAACAACACACACAAAAAAACCTCAAAAGACAAGCTGACCTGGCAAGTACTGTGTGCGCGCATGCCTGTATGTGTGTTGGGGTGGTGAGTTTAAGGATGAAATGGGAGCACCGATACTGGCATCTTAGAACCTCCCTACTCCCAGACCTCCTCTTCTGGGCTCCCCACTATCAGAAGGGCTGGCAAATGCCTTGGAGGAGGTAGAGGCTGGACCCAAGGCAAGCCATTTACAGAAACCCACTCAGCACCGCAGTCTAAGACTACAACTGATTTCACCCAAGGTTTTAAGCACGTACTTTCATCAGACCCTGGCCCAATCCTCATCTATGCAATGCTCCTCAGCCCTTTTCCTGCTCCAGTAGTCTCCCTTACAAAGAAATCACTTTTCTGCCTTCAGGGTTTCTTTATTCTGCCTTAGGACTGGTTGGGGCACGAGAAGAGGAAGCCACTCACCCAGCCAGCTCACCAGGCTGGCCCAGACATCTCTCAAGCTGGCCAGTGTCCTGAGTAAAGGAGCTGGCCCAAGGCAAAGTGCCCCAGCTAGAGATCCCTTCCCTGGCACAGGGGTGGCCTCCCTGACAGAGGGCCTGTGAGCAGCTAGCGTGAGGCCTGGTGAGCCTGCTCTGGAGGGGCAAAGAGAGAGGGTGTGGAAGCTTCTGGAGGAGGTGGGCTGGGGAAAAGAACACGGGAGGTGCGGACTCAGCTGAAACCTATAGGGAGCCAGAGCCGCCTGGCTTGTCCCAGGACCTCAGTCACTCCCAGCCCTTCTCTGAGAAATGGGAAAGTCGGACCCCTGTACTTCCATAGCTCTTCCAGGTAGTGAGATGACGGCAAGGAGACAGATGAACACATCACCTAACCTTTCTGGGCCTGTTTTCTCATCTGCAAAATGGCTGGATGCTCCCCAAGTAGACTTACAGACAGGACAACCCTCTGAGGGAATTTCTAAGAGTGCCCAATTTTAAGTGATCCCTCCTATTGTGCCCACAAAACGTTTACATACCACATATCCTCAATTTCGAGAAAATAGCCACTGGTTTAGAAACTCTTAAGTACCGTGATTTGCAGCACGCTTTGGAGGTTGCACGTTTATGTTCTGGAAGAGGCCCTCAGTCGGCCCTTCGGCGTAGTCGTCCGCGAAGGTGCCCGCCCAGCACGTCGAGGGGTCCTGGCCCGCCTGCCCGCGGGGTCCGGGCGGGCCTGAGGCGGTCAGAGAGCAGCTCCGCCTGGCGGCTTAGCGAGCCTCCCGGGGCCGGCCCACAGGCCCGGGCGGGTTCCTGCAGTGCGCGCCGCCGGGGTGCGGTTTGGTGGCTAGGGGCTCTCAGGCCGCCCAGCCCGCGGGTCTGCCCGAGACGGACCCATACTTCAGGGCGCGAGGGAGGCGCGGCAGCCCCTCAGTTCCTAGGCCAAGGAGACTAGCACCGCCCCCAGGGCCCGCCCCGCCAGCCTTCCCGCCTCCGCCGGCGCGCGGCTTCCGCGTGGCAATGCTGCCCCGCTCCCCCGGCTAGCGCGCTGCCTCTTTGTCTTTCCGCGCTTCCCCTCCTCCCAGACAAATGGCTGCTGGCAGGAAATTGGACGCGCTCCGGGGAAGCCGCGCGCCGCAGGGTGGGGGCGTTGCGCGGCTAGCGGGCCTCGGATGCTCCCAGCCAGGGCGGGGGCGGCGGGGATGTTTTGACATCTTGGCAAAGAAAGGAACTTGATGCTTCGAAAGTGCTTTTCACAGCCGGGCTGTGTCTGCTCCAGAGCTGATTTATAAGCAGAATCTGAGCTCGCTTCTCCGCTCCCTCCCCGGTCATGCCGGGGACGGCGCCGGAGGCGCGGGCGCGGCCGTGCCCGGCAGGATCGGGTTTATTTATGGCCTCTGGCCCGGAGCCGGGGCGGCCTGGGGACTGCACAGTTCCCTCTGCCCGAGCCCTTCCCCTCCTCTCCCCATCCCCCAAAAGCCGGCTGCTTCCCAGGGGCCTACCTTCCCCAAACCTCGTACCAGACTCCGGGCCGAGCCCTCCAGTGGTGTGGGGTGGAAGGCGGGGACGGAGGCAGAGATGGTCAGGCGCCCCGTGGGGCCGAATTCCACCTCGCACAGACCCAGTGGGGAAGGGTGGTGGTGGTGGAAGTCACCACCTCTGCCCTATGGTCGGAAAGGAGCCAGAGCTGCCAATATGAAACTCCTAGGACCCCAGCAGTTCTGGAACCCCGTTCCTCCAGGGGCTATCCTTTCTCTCCAGAGTTTATCTATCCCCAGCTCCAGACAACCCCTTACTCCAAGGACCCAGGAGCCCTTTCCCTTTAGAATAAATTAAGGAATCTTCAGCTTCTACTAGATCCCGAGAGAAGAAAGATTTCTGAGATCATGTCTCTGGGAAGAGCCATGGCCCTCAGCCAGGTGATGGGCACAGGGCTGGGTGCAGGTCTATCACAGTGCCCTGGCTTCACATCTAAAGAGTCCGGATGGCCACAGGGTAGAGCAGAGACATGTGTTCGGCCCCCTTAATGGGTAACTTGCGGCTGGCATAGTGGTGCACAATTTCAGGGACGCTGCTGAAGGGTGGGCTGTTCTGGCCCAGCACATATTTGTGTTCCTTGGTCCGGGACAGCTTCATGTGCATGAAGCCCTGGCTGCTCCTGGGAAAGAGGAGGGGAGACCTTGGTGAGTAGGGGCTCTTCTCAGTCCCCCATCCAGCCATCCAGTAACCCTCCCCAACCATACAGCAAATGTGGTGGTTCTGAAGCCAGCTGAGAATTGAGAGATTAGGGAAGGCGGAGGTCAATCCAGAAAGCAGGGGTGGTGGTGGTGGTAGTGTGGGTAGGTAGCACTGGGCACTGGCTTTGTGGTAAGAGCATCAGATGTGCCAAGAATGTGTGTATACTGAGTATTCAGGGTGTGTGCCGGTGGAAACTGAGTGACCAGCACCACCCCCAACCCCTGCTGGCCAACCCTGGGGTCCAGGTACCCCAGCCCTTCAGCCTCTGTGGCCAGGGCCAGTTTAACTTCGCCCTTCGTGAGCTGTAGGGTAGGACACCTGTGAGGGGCTCCTGATGATTCCTGTGGAACAAAATATGCCCCTGGCAGGAGGGTGGGTGGACAGATATGACAACCAAGCTAGGCTTGCTTGGGGTTCTCCCGTCTAAAGACTAGGAGGAAGGGGAAGCTTGTCTGAAAGTCCCCCCAAAATCTGGGAGTGCTCAGCTGCCGCCTCCTGGGGATATCCCTTCACTCTCTTGCTCTCTGGGTCTTGGACCAAGCCCCAGCTCATCTATCAGGCCCTTCGCCTACAATGACTTCATACCCTTGCTCAGAGGGGACATGCTCCTGCTTCTCCCATCTCCCTACCAGGCCCAATAAATCAGCATTAGTGCCTGGCCCTGCCCTCAAGACAAGGACCCCACTACTCAGAGCTCTGGCTAACTCCTAAATATCCAGGCACCCTTGCCCCATGAGAAAGAATGGGGGAGAGACCTCTAGCAAGAACATTTAGGTCTTAAACTACACAGGCTTGGTCAGTCAGGCCTCAGGTCTGAAGCCCATGCACAGGCAAGGAATGTTTTGGGAAGCCCTGAAGCCTAAGTGTTCTATAGTGCTGCTCAGAGCCTACTTGGGGACAAGGATAGGGCTTAGAGGTTAGTGTGAAAAGTAGAACCAGTGAGGGGGCCGCCTCCATCCTGAGGCCCACCCCCCAGAGAGGTGAGGCTGGCAATCTTCAGCACTCGCCTCTCCTGGCCTGGGTACAAAGGCTGTGCCTGAACCCATTTCACCAGGCCCACAAGTGAGAAATCAGAGTGGGGAGGCTGAAGAGAGGTGAGATGGGAAGAAAACACCAGGCCCCCAATTCCATCCCTCTGCCTCTCCTAGCAGACTGCTGGGAAAAGGCCTGGGGCCCCAGGGCTGGGTGTGTCAGGGTTGTGGGGGTGGCATCTGTAAGTCTGAGATAACTGGGGCTGATGGTGACAGCACAGGTCCTGAGGAAAGGAGCCAAAGGCCTGAGGCAAACAGTCCCTGTGGGTGGTAGAGAAGGGAGGCAGTGTCCCTGTCAGGCCCAAGGCTGTGGGCAGCAGCATAGGCCCTGCTTTCCTTCACCTCTTCTCAAGTGGAGCTGACCCCTTCCCCTTAGTCCACCTGGGGAATCGTTTCTCCTAAAAGCTGCACATTGTATCTTCTTGAAAGACAGATCTGGCTAAGAAGGACAAGTGGCCAGAGAGCTCAGCCTCCATGTGGATAACCAACCTCCTGGGGAGGGGATGGCTGTGCTTTCCCACCTTCTGGGAAAAAGTCCCAAGGGTCCATCAGGACACAGCAAAGCCCTTGCCAGACCCTCAGCGGAGTGGGGTTAGGACCAGCTGAGCTGCAGGACCAGGCCGGCAAGGCTTTTGGAGGAAGTTGTTTAATTACCAGTGAAAGACCTTCCATTAGAGAGAGAAGAGAAACCGTAATTGTATTTCAGAGAAGCTATTTATATGCAAACGAGGCTCTGGCAGACAGATTCGGAGCCTGGACAGCCAGGGCAGGAGCAGGTCTCCAGGCCTCCAAGCCTGCCTTGCCATTTTACCTCCCAGGCCTGAAGGGCTCCACTCTGGAAGCCAGACCCCTGGCATCTCCCCTTAACCTTGGCCAGTACCAAACAATATGGCACTGGTGGAGCCCTGGAATACCATGGTTTATGGAGTCAGACAGAGCTGGGTTCAAATCCTGTTTTGGGGACTTTATTACCTGGTGGCCTTGGGCAAGTAACAAACCTCTTTGAATTTATTTTCTGTCTATAAAAAGGAGATCTATCTTGCAGGGGAATAGGTGGTTTAGAAATGGTATATAGGCTACTTAGTATGCTCCATGAACTTTAACTATAATTTTTAAATCAATACACATTTCTGAGGTTATGTAAATCAAATTTTTGACAAAAACTTTTCTGAAAAATGCTCCTTTGATTTTATAATTGAGAGACTCCTAGGGTATGACAGCTGGAAAAAAGCAGTATCTACCAACTCATTTGGCAAAGGTAGAAACCAAGGCTTGGAGATATTAAGTGATTTCCCTAGGATTTTATCAAATCCAAGAATAGAACTCAGGTTACCTGACTATAGTCTGGCACTTTGGCATTTTTCTTTTTCTTTTTTTTTTTTTTTGAGACAGAGTCTTGCTTTGTCACTCAGGCTGGAGTGTAATGGCACACTCTCCACTCACTGCAACCTCCGCTTCCTGGGTTCAAGTGATTCTCCTGTCTCAGCCTCCTGAATAGCTGGGATTACAGGTGCTCACCACCAAGCCAATTTTTGTATTTTTGGTAGAGACGGATGTTTCACCATTTTGGTCAGGCTGGTCTTGAACTCTTGACCTCAAGTGATCCATCTGCCTAGGCCTCCCAAAGTGCTGGGATTACAGATGTGAGCCACCACGCCCACCACTTTTTCTGTTATCTTTTAGTGAAGTTAAGTAATTATCCACCAAATATGTCTGGTTTAGTAGCTCCAAATTTCCATAGATTGGATTTGTTTGAATACCTGTACTTTGATGGCCGTAGAAAGTGATGCAGGTGTCCTACTAGTGATGGCAGGAGGCAAATGAACTTACCACCCCAATGGCTTCCTAACATGGGGAGCAGGGTCTACCAGGCAGAACTCCTGGTTGTACAGGGCAGGGCAGGCCATGCTACCAGGGAGTCTGGTAAGCCGATCGGCTGCTCCTGGGAGGAAAGCTGATGGGAAGGGAGGGCCCTGTCTTCCCTACCTCTTCCAGGACCCAAAAGCTCAGACACCCCCATCCCCCCACCCCCCACACACACATTCACTTCCTCAGAGTAAACAGGAATAGCTGTGTCCACTGCCCTGCCCTCCTTCCAGGACTCAGCCCCCCATCTGACCCTATAGACTCTCTCAGGCAAAGCTCCTATCTCATTGTCAATGCTTCTAGAACATCTTGGGCTTCCATTAATAATAATGACAGTGATAATTTTATTAAGCCCTCAGCATTACGCTAAGCACTTCCCATGCATTATTTCATCTAATCCTTCCCTATATTCTCCCCCATCCACTTCATTAGTAAGGAAATGAGGCCTAGAAAGGTTAAGGGGGCCCAGGCCACACAGCTAGAACAGAACCCTTCTGAGCTAGACACTGTGGATCAACTATTTCTCCCAGTGAACTCTGAGCTCCTTGAGAGCAGGGGCTGAGTCTCAGATCACCAGTGCCTGGGGATTGTTTATGGGGGATGGGGACCTCCCCAGCTTGGCTGGGCATGAGGGGAATACTGGAGTTCCCTTCCACCCTGCTGGCTGTCCCCAAACCCACAACTGTCCCCACTCACTTGAGGGAGAGGGAGAAGTCATTCTTGCTGGTCTCACTGTTGCGCACCAGGTAGCTGGCCTCTTTGCATAGCCGGAGCAGGTTCTCGGCGTCGGTTCGGCTGATGGCCCCATGATACCAGCTGAGGATAAGAGAGAGGAAGGGGGGCATCTCTGCTGGGTCCCTCGCCGTCCAGGCCCACCCATTGTGGGTGTCCCCTGAAGGGAAGCCAGTGCCAGGAGGGGAGGAGCAGGGAGGGAGTCCCCAGCTGGACACAGACACTCACACCTGGTTTTCCAGAGGCAGTGCTGGATCTGTCCACTCCCCCAGGGGGCTGCTGGGCTCCACGCTTAGGGGCTTGGCTGACTTGGGGTTCCCTGCAGAGAGTCGGGGAGGTAGCCGCCCCTTTTCCTCCCAGCCAGGTGACAGGCAGCTCTTCTCCGATCCTTCAAACTGGGCTGTGGGGAATATATCAGTCATGGACTCTGAGGACCCTAGAGCTCCTCAGAGGTCCCTATTGAATAACCAGTGCCCAACTTCCTCCCGCCCCAAAAAGGATCAAAGGAAGAGCAGCTCATGCTCAAGGGTCTGAATGGCTCTGGGGACATAATCCTGGGTCCATCCCTTGGTGGGGGTGGTCCCAGCCTTCTGTGCCACATGGGGCCTCGAAGTCCCCACATTATGCAAGGGGAGGGCAGAGGAGCAACCCCAGTAACCATGCAAGCTTCTCCCTCCACAGCAGCTGACTGCCTTCCCCCAGTCCATCCTTTCAGGGTGGCTTCAGCATTGATAATATTGCTTCTTTCTCCTCCTCAGAGTTCATTACCGTTCTCCAAATCATCCTGCCAAGCCATTCTGTAGAAATGACTTATTGATCTGAGAACAATTATCTGATTCCCCTTGGTGCCATCCTGACAGGCTAATCCCACCCAAAGCCGCCAGCCAGCCGGCCCCTCCCCCACCCTCAACATTGCTGCCCACTGGCTCCCCTCTCCAACCCACAGAGGCCCAGAGGTGGTAGCTCTGCCCTCCCAGACCAGGGAAGCCTGACAGCTGAGCCTACATAAGAGAAGGCTGAGCCCCCGCAGGTCCCGTGGCCACAGGCACACATGCATGCACATGCACGTATGTCACAAACACTCTCCTTCATCTCGTATTTAAAAATACAACATTCAGGTACCAATGTACATACAAATGCTCATGCCTGTGCGCACACACACTTGGATGCCCATTCTGGGCAGAACTGAGCGTAGAGGAAGAATTAAGTGCCTGCTTTCTCCTCATTTGGGCTTTTTCTCTCTCCTTGCAGCACTTTCAAACCTTACTGTCTTTCAGTCACCAGATGCAAGGGTCAGATCTCCTCCTTTGTGCCAATGAGTTCCACACTTTCTGTGCCTGTCCCACCCCCATCTCAGGAGTATTCGCATTGCTAAAGGATCTGGTCAAGCAAAGCTCTCCCCAAAGTGAATTTAAAATGGTAGACTTTTGCAGCATGGTGAGGAACACATTAGAAAGGGGCCATCGTAGGAGACATCATCCCCACAGCTGTGAGGAAGGGAGGAATGTGCGTTTTGTCTTTTCCTTCTTCTTCCAAAATGAGATTTTTCCTGGGGTCTCCAAACCCTGCCCCACCTTTCAGCTCCTCCAACCCAACCCAAAGAGCTTGGAGGGGTGAGGACATGTCACCCTGGCAGAAGTCCCCCAGGACCCACCGCTGCTGTCCTCCAGGCTCGGCTCTGGGAGGGGCGAGGCTGGATCGGAGATGTCCCTGTCCCCGTCAGGCAGGGAGGGGCTGCTATCCAGCTGTCCCACAGGTGGAGGCCAAGGTAGGTCTTTGATGACCTTAATGTCAACTGGAGCCAGCAGCAGAAGTGAGAAGAGAGACAGACAGTGACAGAGACAGAGACAGAAAGAGGCAGAGGTTGAGACACCAAAACCTAGAGCCAGGACACAGGACAGCCTAGAAAGGAGGAGGGGCAGAGGCAGAGGCTTTTGGGAAGGCACTCAAGGGCTGGGTGGAGCCAACATTGACCACACCAGGCTGGCGGGGTCAGAGGGAGGGAGGCTCGGGTGACAAGCAGCAGGATGCAGAGTCTTGCTCTGCCAGCCCATGAGTCCCCTTCATTTGACCTCTCACAAGCCTCCAGGGCCCAAAGGTACCAGGAACAGAGGAAATGCAGGACTAAGAGTCACCAGCACCTCCCAGCACCACACCTGGGTTTCCACAGCCTCCTGGCACCCACAGCCTTGCCTCCCTTTCTCTTTTTCCCCACAGCCTGGGAACTCACAGGCAGCGAGAATGAGCCAGCCTCACCTCAGGTTGTCAGGATTACTCAGACCTGGGGGCAGATGTTCTATTGAAATGTAATCCCCCCATCTTGAGAAGAGTGATGCCACTGGTGGCTGCTGGACTGCTAACGAGGTTTCCTAATGACGAGCATAGATTTTCCCATTAAGCAATCCAAACAATATTGATTCTCCAAAGAGACTTCTGGAGATAAACGGCCTATCCTCAATGGTATACACTTTACAGGAAAAATACTAGAATCCTGTGGTTTCCCAGTCTGGCTGCTACGGTGGGGAGGGCAGAAGAGGGCTGGGTCCAGCTTCAAGATAAGCCCCTTGCCCAAGCAGGGGAGAGAGGCATATGGGACAGGAGTGAAGTTGAATGGCATTTGAGCCCTTTGTGTTCTCCCTGAATCAAGGACCCAGGAGCAAAAGCCCTCTCCCTACTCCAGGCTCCTTCCCCACCCACCTCAGATCGCTAACATGCACTTTTCCATGGTTGACTTGGACTTGAGATGGACAACAGTATGGCAGGAACAGAAGAAACGTGACCTTCATTCGACAATTAAGGAATTTCTCTTAGCCTCACTCTGCTTCTCAGAAATCTCCTTGGGGCCAGATACCCCTGGTCTGGCAGGGCCCTACTACTAGGGAGGGAGAGCCCTCGAATTCAGGTTACACCCATAGCCGTTTTCATTGTTTGAAGTAAGTGCCTTCTTTTGTTAAATGTTAAGTATTTTAACATATGCCAGGAGTTTCATAAGTCTGTTTTGGAATTTCTTTATTTTTAAATATACCCAGCTCCCAAAAGATAGAAGTAGTCTAGGCCTTTTGGCATCCAAGAGGTGGTGATGCAGGGAAATGCCTTCATCCTTCTTCTGCAGCCATTCCTTGACTCCGTACACAGCACTGTGTCCACACTGCCAAGCCCACCCTCTGTGGTATAGAACTCAACTACATTTCCCTTGAGTCCTGATCCTGGGCCTCCCTGGGCTCCTGGAGTCCACTCCTTTCATTCCCCTGAGCATGGAAAGCTGCTCAGAGGACCCAGCTGACCTGACCTGCCCTCTCCACCAGGACTCACCTGCAAAGGCTTTGGAAATCCGCTCCTTCTTCCACTCCCAGGGCTGGTCATACTCCTCTGGGGGCCTCTCATCATCCTCTGGCAGGCGAGACTCTCGGGGCCAGGGGGCCCCTTCACCCTCCGGGGTGGCCCCATCCTCCTCTGGCTCATATGGTGTGTCATACAGAGGCAAGGGCTGAGCTGCTGTCTCCTTGGAGCCCCGGATCTCTGCCGGGGCAGGACAGGAAGGGAGAGGTGAGGCCTCAGCCCGGGCTCTCTGGCTCCCCTCCTCCTGCAGTGCTTCTCAGCAACAAACCAGGCCTCCCTCAGAAGAGACGCCCTGGCTCTAGTGGGAAGCTCAGCAGCCACGCATCCTGGGTTCCTCACCCTCAAAACACTTCTGGCTCTCTAAAAGTAAGGGACCCTGAGATTCAGATGTTTCAGGATTTAAAAGAAAGAAAAAAAAGTAAGTGACCCAAAGAAGGCAGGTGGGCACCAAAGTGAAAGACAGGAAAAGGATCCTACGACAGCCAGCAAGGCCTGGGTAGCTAAAGTTTATGCGTTTAGGAAACTGAGGCACAATCCTCCCCTTGTCCACTTCCTCCCTGCTGCCAAGTTCCATTTGTTTCCTTCTGTCTCAAATGATGTGTTTTATTTATTTATTTTTTTGAGAAGGAATCTTGCTCTGTTGCCCAGGCTGGAGTGCAATGGCACAATCTCAGCTCACTGCAACCATCGCCTCCCGGTTCAAGCAATTCACCCACCTTAGCCTCCCGAGTAGCTGGGATTACAGGCACCAGCCATCACACCTGGCTAATTTTTGTATTTTTGTAGAGATGGGGTTTCACCATGTTGGCCAGGCTGGTCTTGAACTCCTGACCTCAGGTGATCCACCTGTCTTGGCCTTCCAAAATGCTGGGATTACAGGCATGAGCCACCGCGCCCAGCCCACAAAAGGTATTTCACAATCACAGAATTCTTTGCTGCCCAGACACTGTGGACCACCCCCTCCTTGAAACTTTCCCTTTGACAAGTCACATTCATCGTCATAAAGACCTTTCACTTTGACATTCCATGGCTTCAAACTCATCACCTTCTCCAAAGCTAATTGGTTCTCTTTTTGGGATCACTGACCCAGCCCTCACCATTATCGTGTCCTTCCTATCTTGAATGCTAACATCTGAGCTTCAGTTGTGTGGCCTCCTGTGCCACTTCAGGTCACACAAGTCACAGCTGCTTCTCCAAAATGACTATTGGAAAGGCAGTGATCATCCTCCCCAAGGACCTGGCAAAGACGTTCTTTCTGATCACCCCCATTTGGCCTCTCCCTAGATCCTCTGTTCCCCAAGACTGGATGTTACGCCTTTCTCCCTATCCTAATTCCCTATCCTAATGCTATGACCCAGCCTTATGGCACTCGCTGCATCTGTATTTCCAGCCATGTGTGTCCATTGCCATAAGGACCTTCCACTTTGACATTTCATAATTTCAAAGTTATCACCTTCTCCAAAGCTAGTGGTTCTCTTATTGGGAAAATATGATAAAAGCTATGGAGCTACTCCCCAGAAAAATGTGCTCCTATATTTTCATGTATAATTTCAGGGCATTCATGGGCCTCCTGGGGGTCCATACCCTCTGGCCTAAATGGGGTAGTCAGCTTCTCACCGTCTCCATTTCTGTCTACTACTGTTCTCCTTGAACCTGGCCCTCCTTCATTCTTCAAATCCCATCTGTTCTTTGCCAGTACCTGATGACCTTCACCCTCATCTCTCCATATGTAAATTACTGCTAGGGTGAACCTCCATTCTACAGGTTCATGTTTCCAAGGCCTCCACAGAATAATATTCCTGGGATATTCTTGACCACTCTCTGCCTCTCTCACTACCTCTCCCAAGTAGGAAGAGCAGTTTATTGGGTTGGCACACTCTCCTCCTCTTGAAGATAAAGAGCATTCTGGTTCATGCAGTCAGTGGCCTGCTCCTGTGCTGCCATTGACTCAGAGCCCCAGGTACCGAAGGGCAGGCTCTGAGCTTGGATGGGCACAAGCTCTGGCTCTTCCTTTGCAGAGTTCCTCTACTAGGCCTACTGAGTTGTCCAAGCCTGAGTGGGCAAATTTAATTCTGTAGTGAAATATTAAGAAGCCTGCTGTAGGCTGGGGGCAGTGGGTCACGCCTATAATCCCATCACTTTGGGAGGCCGAGGTGGGCAGATCACCTGAGGTCAGGAGTTGGAGACCAGCCTGACCAACACGGAGAAACCCTGTCTCTACAAAAATACAAAATTAGCCGGGAGTGGTAGCACATGCCTGTAATCCCAGCTACTCAGGAGGCTGAGGCAAGAGAATCGCTTGAACTCGGGAGGTGGAGGATGCAGTGAGCGGAGATCGTGCCATTGCACTCCAGCCTGGACAACAAGATCAAAACTCTGTCTAAAAAAAATAAGGAGCTCATTGTGATGACACATAAGAAGCCCATTGTGGTGAACATATGTAATGTTCTCTAATCAACTTTATCAGTAATAAAGCTGACATTTTCCTCTCCACCTATCTATTTCTTTAATCTTATTTCTCAGTTATTTCCAAGTTCAGGAGAGAAAGACAGGGATGTTAATTATTGGCCCCTTAAAACCCCAACAATTTCAACATCCTACTAACCCAACTTTCCAATGCCTAATTCTTCCGGGCCATTCTGCACACCAAAGCCTCAGTAATCCTCTTAAAGTGCCATATTCGTCCTGTTCCTCTCTTGCTCAATAATTCATCATGATTCCACTGCCCATTCTGAAGCAAGTCCAGATACCTCATTCCAGCCTACGAAGCGCTGCCCTGCCCCACTTGGAATCTCTCATTTAGGCTCCCATGCACACCCAGGACTAACATCATTTGCCCCTGAACAAACTTCCTCTCACCCTGCCTCAGGGCCATAACTTGGACAGACCCACCTTGTCCTCTCTGATCACTTCTATTTCATCTCTTTCCCCTGGACTATCTCTCAGCCTCTGTTACCAAGGCCAGGTCTTACTCATTTCTCCCTAGCCTCACTCTTTGGACTACTTGCCCAGGCTCATGGCACTTACTGTAACCATATTTCTAGCCATCTTTCTCCAATTGTCATGAAGATGGTTCATTTCAAACTCATCCTCGCTCCCAAGGCTAGTGGTCCTCTTTTTGGGATCCCTGACCCTCCCAGCGCTCACCGCTTTCTTTTCTTTCCTATCTTGAATGCTTCTATCTGACCTTCAGTTGTGTGGCCTCCTGTACCACTTCAGATCTCACAGTTCATTTTGCTTCTCCAAAATGACTCTGAAAGACAGTGACCATCCTCCCCAAGGACCTGGCAAAGACTTTCTCCATATTTTCTAGGGACCAAAGTATCCATCCTTAGACTTGTGGGTCACAAAGCCTGTTCTACAGAGTCCAGGCCTCCAGGAGCACCTCCCTGCCCCTTTTACTCACCGGCCATCATCTTTTGGGCCTCATAGGGCTCCATGTAGCCGTCATTTTCAGGGACCTTCTCTGGGGCTCCTGAAGCTCCTGCTGAGCCTTCGCCAGTCTCCTGAACATCAAACGGGTCCGCATAGTCTTCCAGGATTGCTAGCTGTGGGGAGAGAGTGAAGAGAGTGGGCTTCAGGCAGTGGAGAGGCAACTCTGCTTCTCCCCAGATGCTCTGTCCATGGGAGCAAGAGTCCCAAGTAGGCTGCCTTAGACCCAGACCCCCAGGTACTTAAGGGCAGGTTCTGAGTTTGGATGCGGACAAGCTCTGGCTCTTCCTTTGCAGGGTTCCCCCCTTAGACTGCCAACCAAGTGGTACATCTTTCTTTTCCACTAATTTTGCGCCTCTAGGCCATCTCCTAGGTTAAATGGCCAGAAGGAGACTACTGGACCTTAGGGCCTGCCTCAAGTCAGTGTCCAAGCAGGACCAGAGCCTACACCAGGTGGTTCAACAGAGGGAATTAATTCAGCGAAACAGTTGCAAAGATGTTGGAAGAGCTCAAAGAGCAAGCAAAGAATAGTGAGACAACTCAGAGATTTGCATGGTCCATGCCTATGAGGGCACTTCCAGATGGTGAATGAATAAACAACTGTTGACCATCAAAGGAAAGGCTGAGTACTCACTTTTCTAGTTCTGCTGATTGATCCGCACAATGTCCCTGTCATGTGGGTGTTACTGGCCCCATTTTAAGGAGTCAGAGGCTCAGGGAAGTTAGGGAACATGTCCAGGACCGTTCTGCATAAGTGGAGGAAGCAGGTGACTGGAACCCATGCCCTTTGCGCAAGAGGCTGCCAGCCTGCCACCAGGCGGCATCTTGGCTGTCCCAGGAGAGAGAATGCTGAAGCAGGGATTGGGACAGCCCTGAAGTGCTGAAGTCCCCATGGCTCCTGGAGAGCAGGGACAGGAAAGGCTTCACTTTGGCCCTTCACTTCCCACGCTGCCCCTTTCTCCCACACAAGTGGCTCACGGCCACTCCTCTATGCCTGCAAACCACACACCAAAGAGGTGCTCAAGGTGTTTAGGGCGGAGTGCAGCTGAGGACAATAGATCCTTTCTCCAAGACGGGCTTGGGCTTCTCCTGGTGGGGCGCTGGCTAAGGCAGAGACTGAGCCCAGCCCACCCAAGGCTGCCAGCACCCCAGGAGCACTGCACCACTGGGTTGACAGGCGATGATGACAGGAGGTGGCTCCAGGGCCTGCGGCATGGGAAGAGGCCATTCTTGCCTTTCACTAAATCTCAGTCTAGGCTTTGGTTCTAAGCCAGATCGAGGCTGTGCGAGCCAGCTGGGGTGGAGGCCCAGGTGGGGTGGGGTGATTGGCCTGCTCTAGGTTAGGATCTAGGAATGGGGACCCCTAGCAAGGCAGATGAAGAAAATTACTTCCTTTGTCCATTCTTCCTGTTTTATGTGAATGGACTTAACACGTATTTATAGAGTGCTTTCAGGAATTTTTTTTTTTTTTTTTTTGAGACGGAGTTTCGCTCTTGTTACCCAGGCTGGAGTGCAATGGCGCAATCTCGGCTCACCGCAACCTCCGCCTCCTGGGTTCAGGCAATTCTCCTGCCTCAGCCTCCTGAGTAGCTGGGATTACAGGCACGCGCCACCATGCCCAGCTAATTTTTTGTATTTTTAGTAGAGACGGGGTTTCACCTTGTTGACCAGGATGGTCTCGATCTCTTGACCTTGTGATCCACCCGCCTCAGCCTCCCAAAGTGCTGGTATTACAGGCTTGAGCCACCGCGCCTGGCGCTTTCAGGAATTTAACAGTAAACATGGTTTCTGCCCTCAGGAAGCTCACAGTCTGCAGGAAGACATGCAACAAAACAAATACTTACCACAGTGATAATAACCCATTTGCAGTCAGAGCATCTGAAGATGCCTTCTGCATGTTCCTTCAACCCTGCTATTCCCTCTGAGGCACCTTCCAATGGCTCCTACCATCTCGTCTGGGGTCTTCAGGTCCCACCTTGTTCTATTCAAGGCCTCGGCTCCTTTACCACCTCCCTTTTGTCTCTGCTTGCTTGTGGGATAACCACCACCTCAGATCATCCCATCATCACCACCGGGCTATCCAGACCTGAGGGCTCTTTGTCATTTTTGTCATTCCAGCTCTAATAAGCACCTGGCATACAGTAGGCACTAGAAAAATATTTCTCCTTGATCACTGCCTATCTCCCCCTGGAGCCCTTCACTCCTAGTCCTCCTTCCTTCAGGAAATAGAGAAAATAAATCCACTCGTCCCTACCCACCCAAGCTGCTTCCTCCCAGGCCAGCTGGCACCCACAGTGCCCCTCTTGACCAGCGGGCTCTGTGGTCAGCCCACCTTCAGTGATTCTGTCGGTCAGCAGCCAGCATCACACTCTTGTGGCAGCTGCTCAACAGTGTCTAAATCAACCAACACTTTATCCTTAAACCTTGCATTGGCTCTCCAGTGCTTCAGGAAAAAGCCTGGAGTTAAAGAGATTTGAAAGCTTCCATTTTCTCTTTCTCTCTACTCACCTTGGATCACTTTGTTACCAGAAAGCTGCATGTTCTTTCTACTTCAAAGGCTTTCTCTCTGCCTGGATAGCTTTCCCCTTCCTCCTCAAGCTAACCCTTATAGATTATTTCTTCAGAAAGCCTTTCCATACTCCCCCTAGGCCTGTGAGGTGTCTCTGTGCTGGGCTATTATCACTCTGCATGGTAAATATTTGTTTTGTTGTATGTCTTCCTGCAGACTGTGAGCTTCCTGAGGGCAGGAACCATGTTTACTGTTAAATTCCTGAAAGCTCTCCATAAATATGTTAAATCACATAAAACAAGAAAAATGGGCAAAGGAAGTAATTTTCCCTGTTTGTTCAGGAAAGAGGAAACACAAATCTGGATAGGGTGGGGTCCTTTTAAGGGGACAGTCTTTCCAAGTGAAGCTGTGTCACCACATGCTGCTTGGCCAGCAGAGGTGCCTGGTCCAACCCCCTTATATCCCCCTAACCCCTGCTCCTCCACTCCATAGAGCCCCTCCTGCCTCTCCCTCACCAAGCCTGCAGGCAGCACCCTTCCCACCCAAGTCCTGGGCCCATGCCCAGAGCCACGACCCCTCCCTGGCTGGCGTGGGCCTCCTCAGCTCTAGCCTGCAGTGCCCGTAGGCACCCAGGTGGCAACTCTGCAGGCCATTCAATGGCTCCTCTGTTCCATTCCTGGCTCCACACCCAGCTCCAGGAAGCCCCGGCCCCACGCCCTGGGCTGGAGTGCCCAAAGGAGCCGCCCACAGGTCTGGGAGTCGGGAGCAACAGCAGAGATACCAGTTGGGGAGGATGGCAGGATAGGCACCCACCCTGGGCACAGAAGATCCCAGGCAAAACCCAGGCCTGCTTTCCCAGTGGCTTCTAGGTCCCCAGGATAAACTGCTCAGTGGAGGAAGCTGCCCCAATAGGCTTCTGACCCCTTTGACCTACCATAATTTTGTTTATGGTCCCTTTGCCCCACTCTGATGTGCTCACTGCTATATCCTGCATCAATCTCAAAGCCAGCAAACAGTAGGTACTCAATGTATACTAATGGACACTCAACAGGCCTCCTCTCCAGACTCCATCTTCTGAAGTGACATCACCTTTCAGATTCCCATTCACCCTGACCTCTAATGGCTGCAGGATCAGGCTCTCAACAGAATCCACAGCTGAATAGAAATTAAAGACTCTGGCCCAAGGGCCAAAGAGAGGAATTGTCCTCAAAGGATCTTTGGGGAAGACACCTAAAAACACAGCTGGTATTTAGGCACATCCTCTGATACAGCCAGAATGCTGCCGAAATGCTGAAAGATTTCCAAACTAGTAGGTAAAGTAGCCACTAACCAGAGGATCCCCTGTCCAGCTCCTTCCTGCCACCCAGCAGGGTGCCTCCAGGACTCTGCTATTGCTGTTCTAATTGGGCAGTGCCCCTCCCAGAGCAGCTGTCATACTTTCAATCTCCTTCCTGCTCAAGCCTCTCCTGTGGTAGCTAGCAGGCCTGCCATCTGGTTCCTCTTCCACTCTGCAATTGGGCCACATAACACATTCCTGACCCCCACCACAGGGCTCCAGGGGATGCAGATCCAGGAGGAGCAAGATGGGTACACGTTACAATATGTGCCCTTGCTCTGCAAAGTCCCCAAAGTCTACCACTGCCCCTTTCCTCTGCTTCTTCAGTTTACACTGAGTGTCTGGAAACCTCTTTTTATCTGCAGACCTCTGTCTTTCTATCTGTAGAAAAAGGATAGGTAATAGTACCCATATCATAGGGTTGGGAAGAGGAAAATGAATTTGTAAAAGTTCTTAGTCCAGAGGCCGGCATGGAGTCAGTGCCGAATAAATGTTAGCTCTGAGGATAATCTTTTATACTCAGGTATTAAGGCCTCAGAGTTCAGGTGCTTGCCCAGGGTATGCAGCTTGTCAGCAGCAGAGACAAGACAGGGACGCCGGCTTCTTGACTTATAGTGCCTGATCATAGATTTTCCAAAAATTGGGGAAATGCAGCATCTTCTCTCCTCTGCTTGTAGATTTAAGACACACTTTAAATCTAAGGAGTCCTGCAGCAAAGAAATCAGTTTAATTTTGTTTAATTCTGTAATTCCCCCAAAGTATTTAACCACGGAAGCCCTTTGTCACTGAAAACTTACTAACCTGTCACAGTTTGGGAAATGGTACATTACTTACCTTTCTCGAGATCAAACTTTTTATACCCATTGTTTGCTTATTGGAATGTCCTTATACTATTTTATCTGAGAAATCCCTTGACATAAAACAAATGTCTTTCCCTTTTCTAATTACAAGAACAATGCCATGTTTATAGAACAGTCAACCATTACAGACATGCAGTCCATCCTACCAACCCTTGGATGTGTCTGGTACCACTTTGGGACTGGGTAACAAGTGGTGGTCCCTAGCATTCAGGAAGTGATAAATTCAGTATAGAACACACCCCTCATTCCTTCTCTAAGAGTCTGCTTCCTCTTGTTCATTAGCAATTGCTTAGTGAATACCTCCTCTCTGCTAGGCACCTGGTGGTAGGTGCTGAGGGTCCAGGCATTGGGCTCACTCTACTACCTGTTGGCAGAGAAACCTTGCAAGTAGTAAGTCAACATTCCTGTGCTTTGGTTTCCCCATTTATAACCTGGGGATAGTAGGAGAATCTTCTTCACAGGATTGTTTTAAGGCTCAACTGGTCTAATACATGTCAGCTGCTTCAAAATGGTACCAGGCACAAAGTGAGTACTTAGTAAATGTTAGCTGCTATATTATTAAAGACAAAAAGACCAAATTTCTGACTCTTTCTGGAGGCCCACCGTGATACACACAAAATAAGCTCCAAGCTGTGAAGCCCTAAGACTGGGCACCAGGCTCCGGAGGCACCCACAGGCCCACTGCATGCAGGGTTTGGGCCCAACTTTTGCTTTCACATAATACGTTGCCTCTGTGGTGAGGGCTAATGGAGTGGGCAGCAGGTAACCCTCCAAGGCCTGGGCCCTAGCCAGGGCTTGCTCAGCCTAGCCAGCAACTTGCATCCAAGGTCCTCAGGGTCCCAGCTGTTCCTGGTTCCCAACAGGCAAAGTGCCAGAGCTGAGCTGTCAATGAGTCACTCACTGGCCAAGGTAAGAAGCACAGATGTCTTCCAGAGGTGGTATCGCAGCATAGGGTTATGGCACTGGGTAGAGTAGACAGGCCTGCCGTCCAATCCCCCAGTAGCTGCAGGCCTCAGCCATCCTCAGAGCAGCCATGGCGGCACAGATGGCCAGCCTCGGCCACAGAAGCTTAAGAGGTTTAACCAGTCTACAAAAGTTCCTTCACCTGAACTCCTCCCTTCTTTCGCGAGAATCTCCTCCTTCCTCCATCTCCATCTGCAACATAAGCAGATGGGACCTCCAGACTCTGTGGAAGTCTTAAGAAGGAACATTAAGGCAAACAAGGGAACAAACTCCAAAAAGGCAAGTACGAGGTGCTACGTCCCTTTCAGTGCCTAATGACATACACTTAATGAACACTGGCTAAGGGATGGGCCTATATTTATTGGCAGCCCCTACTGATCCTCCTAACCTCAGGGCAGGAATGACTCCTTCAACTTCAGATGCCCTGACTGTATCCCTCACTTTACTCTTCCTACCTCTGTCTGTTTCCTCCTTTCCAAATCTGTGCCTGGAGGTTCCAAGTCCTGTGGATATCATCTATGAAGTACCTGTATTTTTTAAAGTTTTTAATATTTTGGGGCATGTGAACCCCTATGAGAATCTAAGAGCTATACCCTTCCCCAGAAAAACAGGAAATATCTGCACACAGTTTCTGGATATTCATGAAGCCGAGAAGCCTCTCCATGAGCTTAGAGTCCTGATTTTAATCCAGGGTGCCTGACTGTCGTCTTATCCATGTTCCCTCCCCACCCAGCCCCAAACACATATCTTGGCATGATGGAGGCAAAAGACACACTGCACAGATGGTCACAGGCAGCTCGGAGCTTTGTCCAATCAGGGCCCCATTCCCATATCCATCCCCTTCCCTAATTACACCAGGTTTTTCCTGCTAAAGGTCTGAGAAAAGGGAGCAAAGCAAGGGAAGGCCCAGCTCTCTAGTCCCACTGCGAGAGCAAGGCCTAGGGGCCAGACGAGGGCCCAGCACCATGACGAAGCTCTTCCTCTGGCCAGATGGCAAAGCCCTGCCTGCCCGGTGCAGGGCGCAGCTCCTGCTGCTCCCACACCTGCCCTGCCAGGACTGCCCAGATGGCCACCCTTGCATCCCTGCCAACTACAGCAGTGGATCCCAGGGTGGGTTGGCAGCCAGAGCCCCGCATGGGGAGAAGACTAATGGTCCTGAGCCCCCTGGGCCTCTCAGGGTACTGTCCAGGACCTGGTTCTCTCCTGCCTGCATACTAACTGGGTTTCTGCTCAGTCCCTCTGGCTTGTATAGAAACACCTCCACCCATTTCATCAAATCTCATGACCCACCCCTTCTCAGAGGCTGACTCCCCCAGCCCCAGCCACTGGGCTCCAGGAGAAGGAGAGGATAGGCCAGCTCAAAGTCCATGACTGTTCCCAGGCCTCATCTTATGTCAGGAAGAGACTTCAAAGCAAGCCAGGAGGCCTGAGAGGAGGAGGAACAGAAAACAGGGAGAATGCAACCACATAGTACATAAACACCAGCTCCACCTGGTCACAGGGGCAAGCGCCAGCTCACATCCAGGGGCAGCCTCTATTAGGTTTAGGGTAAGAGACTCAGGAACCTTGTCTGAGCTTTTCCTAGGGGAAGACTAAGACCCCAAACTCTTCCCCTAATCCGTTGGGGAGCTGCTCTCCCTAAATGATGGGAGGCCCCATGTCAGGGCCCATAGAGACAGCATCCCTGCCCCGGGCCAACTCTGATGGCGTCCTGGGTCTTTCTCATCACACCCATTAAAGAAACCAGATTGTATGGCTCCTGGGAGAGCCTGCTGGATTTCATTCCTGTCCTCGTAGCTGACAAAGGAGTCAGACATCTCTTGGCCCCCAAGTCTGAACAGCACATAGATCACAGAGCTGATCCAAGCTGAGGCATAGAGGCCCTTGGCTAGAAGAGGCCATGAGTCTCTGCATGAATGTGTGGGTGTAGCCCCTTCCATGGCGGTGTCTGGGAAAATCTACCAGGGAAGCTATGACTAGGGGAGTCCCTGACCCTCAGGCCACCGTGATAATGGACAGTCACCATTCCGGACATATTTATGCACACTTCTTTATGTCAAAAGACATAAAGAAGACATGGTCTGTGTCCTGGAGGAGCCCATGGCTTGGTGGGCAGCCTGTTAGTTCATCCAAGCCACTGCAGAGAGGAGAAGGGCCAAAGACAGTTCAGGCCCAGGTCGCCTGTGCCAAACAGGCAGTGGTTAGAGAGGAGGAGCCTGGCTGGTTAGTGGGAAGAACAGGGCCTAGCCCTCTCCTCTGCCTCACTGTCACCACCTCTATCACATCACACAATAGCAGGGGACAAGAACAAGAGGAGGGCAGCCTCAGAGAAGTGCCCTTGAACCTTCCTCTGCCGAATAAGTATCCTGGCCCAGGATGGGCAGCCATGCCCCATGGCAAAAACTAGAGGAAAAATAATTTGCATTCCTGAGGCTTGTGCTCCGACCCTGACAGATCTCTCTCATCCAGGAAATCTGGCAGAACAGCGCTCTTAGCTAAAAGCCTCAATCCTGGAGCCAATGGATTCGGACAGCAACTTTGCACTCCAATCAAATAAAAATGTTCTTCTCTGCTGAGGAGAGGGGAGTAAGCCCCAGAAGTGAGCTCCTGGGGTGAGTGAAGAAGGACCAGAGAACCAAGGCAACCCACAGAGTCATCATCACAGAATTTAGGGGCCTGGGATGGCTTTCAGCTCCCACTCTGCCAGGGAGGGATAAGGCCGACGGGAGCCAGGGCAGGGCCCTGAGCCATGGTGGGTGTCCTGTTCTCCTCCCTATCGGGGTGCCTGCGGACCCAGGAAAGGCTCCAGCCTTCCTCAGAATGGACTGGGGGAGAGGGAGGCCAGGAGGAGAGGAGGAATGGGCTCAGCTGCTTAGCCCCATGTGGGCAACAGGTCCTGAGCACTGACTATCCTCATACCTGAGGGGACAAGGGAAGGAGAGAAGAGGGGGCCTGGACCCCAGGAAGCCCCTTGGCAAGGGCTGTAAGCTGCCTGTCTTGGCCTCCTGAGAACAACAGCTCATCCAACTCCAGTCCCACTGCGTACGGCAAAGGCCAGCTCGTGCTGTGTCCACAAGGAGAAACCCATCTTCACCTCTTTTCTGGGGCTTCAGCACCTGCAAGGATGCTTAGGCTGGAGTAGAGGGAGGAGGAAGAAGAGGAGGAGGCAGAGAGGCAGCAGGAGGGTAGAGCTTTGTGCTGGCTGTGCCCTGGGGGAAGGGTCAGAGATCAAAGGGCAGTGAGCTGTTGCTTCCAGAGGGGCAGAAAGGCCATCAACCAGTGGGGGTTGGGAGGTGCACCTCAATTCCCGCTAGAAAAAGGCTCACGGATCAGGCTGGAGGGGGCTGCGAAGTGGAGAGCCAGACCGGGAGGGGTAGGATCCCCAGTCCTGGGGCCATTACAGGGGATGGGGCAGAAGGGCACAGTTTGGGGCTTCCGTCTCAGATTAGTCAGCTGAGAATCTGAACAAAGGTGGGTGAAGGCTCGGAGCCCCGGGGTCAGGGGCAAGCGTCTGCCAGGAGTTGAGACACCAAGGGGCCCTGGCCAGGCCATCTTTCTCCCTCTTGCAACCTCCAGACCCCTGACCGCCACCCCTCCTCGACACCCCGGCCTGGAGCTGCACTCACCCTGTCGCCGCTGGAGGGGGGTCCAGAGATCCGCTCATCAGCAGGGGGCGCCGGGGGCCCAGGGGTCTCGACCCGAATAAGGCGGTGTGGGGGAGAGCCGTGGCGCGGGGGCGGCGTGGGGCCGGGGGTGGCGGGGGTGGCGAGGGCGGCGGAACTGGACGACCCCCCGGAGTAGGGGTCTTCGAAGTCGCGCTCCCGCTGCAGCCTGTAGGCGGCCAGGATGTCCGGGGGCGGCGCGGGGGGTGCGGCCGGAGAAGGCGCAGGGGGGCGGTAGTCAGGCTCCGGGGGCGCCGGCTTGCTGCCCCCTCCGCCGCCAAGCCCCCCGCGGAAGCCCAGGTGCTCCCGGAGCCACTTGGCTACTCCGCCGCTGCCACCCCCTCCTGGTCCGGCTCCCGCACCCCCGGCGCCCCGGCGGGAGCCCCCCGGTCCGCCCCCAGAGCTCCCCTGCGTCCGTGGCCCCGGGCGGGAGCCCGCCGGAGGAGCCCCGCTCAGTAACATGGGGCCCGCCAGACTGAGCGAGGGGAGCGCGGCGGCGGGTGAGGGGCGGGGGTGGGGAGGGGGCGGGGCTCCGCCGGGCGGGGAGGGGGCGGGGACGCGTCAGTAACAAGGGAGAGGCGGGGCTCTGCTCCCTAACGGGGTCTGCCTCCTCCCGCAGCTGAGGAGAAGAGCGGGCGAGGGCTTCCAGCTTATGTGGACTGGCAAGAAGTAAAGTGGGCGGCCCAGGGGCAGAGGATGCGACTCCTAGACTGAGATTGAATCCTCCACGTGTCGCCACGCGGTCCCCTGTGGGCGCGCACACATCCCCATCTGTTCTTTTCCCCAGCTTGCAGCTCCTGCAAGACGCAGAGAGGGGAGCCCCCAGAATCTTGGCTCTAGGGCGCCTTCCGTCTCTCCCCTTCCTTCTCCCAGGATCTCGCAACTGGGAAACTATAATCTAGAAGGAAAATCTAGGAGGGCAAGAAAGGGGGCTGTTCTGTAAGACCTGTTTGTAAGCCTCCTTCTCCCGTGCAACCTTGGGAACCCCACAACCTCCTCCCATCCAACAGTACGCACTGCACATACCCGAAGCTACATTACTTCCCAATCCAGGCAAACATATCTCACATCACATACAAACAACTCCCTAGAGACGCCTACTTCACTCGTGTCGTTTCCACACAGGCCCTTCTCCCAGGCAAACAGCTTTCGCTCAAACACCCCCCCCCCCACCACCACGGGAGCACCTGCCCGCAGCGGGCCCACCCGGCTCTGACGGTAGCATGCGCACGCACGCAGAAATCCCTTCCAGCCGCATCCGGGCTTCATTGTCAATTAGATGAGTGACAAAATGGAAACAGACAAGTCAATAAATCAAGTCTAGAAACAGTCCCAGTGTTGTCTATCACAAACTCCTTATCCTCCCGAGGCTAGGATGCTCAAGTGCTACGGCATTTTTGTCTTAGAAATAAAGCCAGTTCCTCCCCATAAATGCTGTAGCCCTGAAGCCAACAACGTTTGCTTTTGGCTCTGTTGGGAAATTAGCTGCCTCACCTCACCTTACGCCACCCGCTTACCCCCACTGCCTCAGTGTCTCGGCACTCCTAGGCTTATGTCTGTCTTTGAGACGGACTCTCTCACTCTGTCGCTGGAGTACAGTGGGGCGATCTCGGCTCACAGCCACCTCCACCCCCTCCCCAACCCTCCCTTCTGCCGCCTCCGTTCAAGCGATCTTCCCAGTCTCAACCTCCCAAGTAGCTGTGATTACAAACGTGCGCCACCATGCCTGGTTAATTTTTTTGTATTTTTAGTAGAGATGGAGTTTCACCATGTTGGCCCGGCTGGTCTCGAACTCCCGGCCTCAAGTGATTCACCCGCCTGGGCCTTCCAAAGTGCTGGGATTACAGGTGTGAGCCACGGCACCGGGCATATCTGCATTTTGAGGGAGCAAAAAGTCAAGAGGCCCCAAAGGAAAGAAGTTTAAAGCAGGGGGAGTAAAGAAGGATGTAACAGCAAAACTGTGAATCTCCTGGGATTCCCAGGGCCCCAACTCTCAAAATATTTGTTGAGTTCCTGCTTTGTGTGCAAATTCTAGCTGGGCAAGGTAGCTCACTCTTGTAGTCCCAGGTACCCGAGAGGTTGAGGTGGGAGAATTGCTTGAGTCCAGAAGTTCAAGGCTGCAGTTAGCTATGACTGTACTACTGCACTCCAGCCTGGTTAAGACAGTGCTGTTTGGATATAGGACAGTGCTTCTCAAACTTTAATGTGAACACTAATCTCCTGGGGATCTTGTTAAGTTGCAGATTCTGATTCTCTAGGTCTAGCTGGGGTGGGATCCCAGGTGATACAGACACTGCTGGCTGCAGACCACATGTTGAGTAGCTGGACTGTAGGAGATACTAGAGAATCTAATCTTGTACTTGACTTTATGAAGTATAATAGAGAAAATAACATGTGCACATTTTTTTTTTTTTTTTTTTTTTTTTTTTTGAGATCGAGTCTCGATCTGTCACACAGGTTGGAGTGCAGTGGCGCCATCTCAGCTCACTGGCAACCTCTGCCTCCCAGGTTCAAGCGATTCTCACTAGTCAGCCTCCCGAGTAGCTGGGATTACAGGTGCTCATCACCACGCCCAGCTAATTGTTGTATTTTTAGTAGAGATGGGGATTCATCATGTTGATCAAGCTGGTCTCAAACTCCTGACCTCGTGATCTGCCTGCCTTGGCCTCCCAAAATGCTGGGATTACAGGCGTGAGCCACCGCACCTGGTCAACATGTACACAGTTTTAAAATGTGCAGTTAAATCGACAAATGATGCAAAACAAAGCTGGACATAAAGATGATAAATACAGAAGAATGGTCCAGTTAATCTATATCAGAGAGTCTCTACCAGGTGTGAGGGCATGGATAGGTAACTAATAAGTCCAATTGTTGTGGGCTATAGCCAGGTATTTGGGGAAAGTATTCAATGCTACTGATCCTTGCTTTCCTTATCTCTGGAAAGGGTATGATAATCATTGTGTGAGGATTAAGGGACATGATGAATATGAAAAAGGGTTGAAAACTGTAAAATGCTTACAGTGGAAGGTATCACATGAGTTAAACTGCTTGATGGCTCAGAGGAATGAAATCAATCAAGTCTGCAGGCTTCATGCAAGACAGGAGGTAGACTAAGCCCGGTAGGATTTGGACAGATGAAGCAAAGGAGTGAAAGATCATTTCAAGACAGGAGGTCAGCATTAGCTGGACAAAGGCATAGAAGTGGGAACCAGCACATCATAAAGAAGGGGAGTATTGGCCGGGAGCAGTAGCTCACGCCTGTAATCCCAACACTTTGGGAGGCCAAGGTAGGTGGATCACAAGGTCAGGAGATCAAGATCATCCTGGCCAACATGGTGAAACCTCATCTCTACTAAAAATACAAAAATTAGCTGAGTATGGTGGTATGTACCTGTAATCCCAGCTACTTGGGAGGCTGGGGCAGGAGAATCGCTTGAACCCAGGAGGTGGAGATTGCAGTGAGTTGAGATCCCTCCACTGCACTCCAGCCTGGTGACAGAGCAAGACTCCATCTCAAGGAAAAAAAAAAACAAGAAGGGGAGTATTCATGGTGGGAAGAGTAGGAATAAAATGAGTTGGGAAGGAGGGAAGATGTCATAAAGGCAGGGCTTAAATAATAATTTTAAAAGTATAATAACTTGTGCACACCCTAAACTTACTCTTGTTTTAAATGATCTGCTAATGTACTTTCCTCCCTTACCAGAGTGTGAGCTCCTAAGAGCAGGCAGTTTGAGCATCTCATGGAGCCAGGCAGCTTTGTAGGAACCAAGGATACAGAGGTGAGGCCTTCACAGCAAGACTCCTCTGAGAATTGGGTGGCATTTTCTAGATCCAAATTCTGTTTACTTTTTCTTTCTTTTGGAGATGGGGTCTCACTCTCTTGCCCAGGCTGGAGTGCAGTGGCACAATCATAGTTCACTGCAATCTTGAACTTCTTGGCTCAAGCAATTCTCCCATCTCAGCCTCCCAAGTGTGAGCCACCTCGCCCAACTAATTTTTTATTTTTTATTAAAGATGGGGCCTCAGTGCGTTGCTCAGACTGGTCTTGAACTCCTGGCCTCAAGCAATCCTCTCACCTTAGCTTTCCAAGCACTGGAACTACAGGTGCACACCACCACACCTGACTAATTTATTGTATTCTATCTTGTGGACATGAAGTTCTTGCTATACTGCTTTGGCTGGTCTCAAACTCCTGGCTTCAATTGATCCTCCCGTTTGGACCTCCCAAAGTGCTGGGATTACAAGTGAGAGCCACTACGCCCAGCTTAGAGTCAAATTCTTGCATGTTAAGCAGTTTGCCATAGCATGGGGATTCTGTAAGGAAGCATGGGTGCTCCCATCACCAAGTGCAGATCCTGTCACTTGACATCAGTTTAAGAAATGTTGAAATGGATGAAGACAATTTCTGTTTCTTATTCTTAGTTTTATATAGCTATAATTGTGTTATACACATAATTATATATATTTATAAACTTGACATTATATTATAATTTCCCCATTTTTGTCATGTAGGCTTTATTTTCTTCCAAATTTTTTGGGGAAAACTATCAAACCTACAGAAAAAGCCAAAGAAAGTATAGTGGAGGCTGGGCACAGTGACTGGAGTCCGTAATCCCAGCACTTTGGGTGGCTGAGGCGGGCGGATCACTTGAGCTCAGAAGTTCAAGACCAGACTGGGCAACATGGTGGAAACCCTGTCTCTATATTAAAAAAAAAAAAAAAAAAGTAAGGGTAGTGGAAACCTGTTTACCCTTCAGTTGGATTTACCACTTTTTATATTTTGCTGTATTTGCTCTATCCCTCTCTTTTTCTTTCCTTTTCTTGCCCATTTGGTACAAGTTGCAAATATCACGACACTTCTGTTTTAAATACTTCAGGAGGTGTTGCCTAAGAATAAGGAATTCTTCTAGCAGGCTACAAGATCATTATCACATTTAGGTAACTTAATATTTATTTAATAATATTGTCTATTATACAGTCCTCATTAAATTTTTCGATTTTTCCTGAAAATGTCTTTTATAGTTTTTTTTTCTTTTTTTCTTTTGTTTTAAAAAAGTTAACGCCGGGCGCGGTGGCTCAAGCCTGTAATCCCAGCACTTTGGGAGGCCGAGGAGGGTGGATCACGAGGTCGAGACATCGAGACCATCCTGGTCAACATGGTGAAACCCCGTCTCTACTCAAAATACAAAAAATTAGCTGGGCATGGTGGCGCGTGCCTGTAATCCCAGCTACTCAGGAGGCTGAGGCAGGAGAATTGCCTGAGCCCAGGAGGCGGAGGTTGCGGTGAGCCGACATCACGCCATTGCACTCCAGCCTGGGTAACAAGAGCGAAACTCCTCCGTCTCAAAAAAAAAAAAAAAAATTAAATTTTCTTCCAGGCAGCCTCCTGAGCCAAGTAGACTCAGAGAAACTCCCTATAGTTGTTTTTTTTTTTTTTTTTTTTTTTTTTTTTTTTTTTTTTTTTCTGATTCCAGATTGAATTAA